ACAAATGTTATTTTTCCTTTTCCTATTGTAATTATACTTCCTATTCTTTTACTATTTTTTATTTTTATTTTTCTTCTTTTATTTGAAGTGAAAAACTTAACCAACTAATGAATGCAAATAAAAATTGCAAATAATGAGCATTGGGATGGTATTATATCAAATCTACATGAAGATATCTATTTATTATTTATTTTGTTTTTGACAGATAAATAACCCATACACCTACTTTGCAAAAAAGAGATTTTTTTTTTTTTTTTTTTTTTTTTTTTTTTTTTTTTTTTTTTACACATATACTTGTACACATTCATTTATTCATTTAGAGGAAGGACAATTTTTTTTTTTTTTGGACAAATGCACAAATAGTCAAGTGATAAATAAAAAAATTAGGGACCCTGATTGAATTTATTCCAAAAATAATTATTTCCTTTATTTATCACAGATTTTATATTCAGTCCGGTGACTCCACACTGGGGTAAAGACTCCGGCAACAAGGTTGTCGGCAAGGAAGAAGAACAGCAAAAAAAAAAAAAAAAAAGGGTATTTTTATAATTAAAAAAAATAATATTAGTTTTTAATTTAATATTAAACAGCAAGGTCAAATTTGTCATTTCACAGCCCAGTTAATGGATCGGACTCGGATATTGAGGCAATCGAATAACTTTTTAAAAATGTTGGAGTTTGTAAAAACATATTGGAGTTTTATGATCAAAAATTAAAAATAGTGAAAGTTTTATGATTTAAGTCTTATTTAAAATTCAATACAATTGTTTAAGATTTTTGTTTTTTATGGGCAACAGTTTTGAATGCTAATATTTAAAATTGATGTCATTTTTTTTTTTTTTCAAAAAGGGCAAAGTGCAATAAATCCCCCTCAATTATACCCCAATGAGCACAAAACCCCTTTGAATTTCTAAAATAGCATTTAACCCCCTCAACTTAGGGGTTTGGTGACAATTTATCCAATCCGACCACCAGCTAATTTTTTGGCCCTTAAATTGAGTCCCTCAGTACCATATTTAAATTAAATGACCATTCAACCCTTGTCATACAAAAGTATCATACTACCCTTATATTATAATATTGTTACCCATTCAACCCAAAATCCCTAATTCCTCTCTATCATTTTCACCCATTTTTTTCTCTCTTCTCTATCTCTATTGAAGACCAAAAGGAAGAGCTTCATCTCTACACCAAACCGAGAGCGGCGTCTACTGTCTACACCACGAACTTCGGCGACAGCCTTGATCAGAACACCACGGCGATTTTTGTGTCGCCAGGAAAGAATATGACCAGGTCGTTTTTGTGACCTGGTTCTCGCCGTGGATGGTAATGACCTTTGGGTTGCTACATATTGGAGGATTGGGTCACTATTGTAGCGACTGAGCAAGCTATGGAGGACAGCGACCGTCGCCATCCATGGGATATACCAGGTCGCCGCCAGAGTCCTGGTTAAAGGAGAATAAGGTAACGACCGGCGTGATCTAAGATAGAAGATTCGCTGCTAAAACAAGACGATCGTCACTTGAGAATTTCAGCGACCCAAATCGGAAAAGGTTTAGAACAATGACCAACTGTCCGGTGAAGTTTAGTCAAGACTCGAGAGTTTCAATTCAAAACGGGAACGTCATAGCTCAATCCGGTGAGTTACAGTATAGACCCAACCCCTAAATTGAAATTTGAATTTCGATTTTTTGAATTTCAACAAAACCCAATTGCAAAACTCCATCAATATCTTTGTGGCTGATTACCAAGCAAACTCATTCAAAAAATTCATAACCCCATCATCACCAAACACATATAATTAACAGAACCTTAATTGAAACTAGGGGTGGTAAAATAGGTCAGGAACTATCAACCTGTCCATATATGCCCGCTTTTTAATAGTTATGCGTGAACCATATTTAATTGAGGGTCAAGATAGGTTGGGTAATTTTTAACCACTTAATTTGAGGGTTAAGATAGGTTGAATATGATTAACTATATTCAACTTATATTTCACACATCACATAATAAACACACAACAAATATCTATTCTATATTACACTCAACTCATTTCTCTCTCTAAAATTTTCTCACTCACAATCTTCTCTCTCTAAATTTGTTTCTCATCAATCCCCTCTCTATAAGTTTCTCTCTCTAGAAATTTCTTTTTAAAAAATTAAAAATTAAAAATAATTTTAAAAAATTAAAAAAGAAAAAAGAAAATAAAAACCTTATGAATTTTTTTTAAAAAAATTAAAAAATAATTAAAAAATTAAAAATTAAAAAAAATAAGGGGGCAGCGCCTAAGGGACCAATGCTCCTTTCTCTAAAACCATATTTTTAGTTGGCCGTAAGCTCTGTGATGGTCCATATTCATTTTGGAGATAAATGTCTTTATCTGAAACCCCTTACTACATCTTCCAGATAAAAATCTTCACAAATTGTAGATTTTTTTGTGTTTGTGTGTGGGGGAAATTTCTCTCCAAAATCATTATCATCCATCTGATCACATTGAATTTGTTTTTCAAAAATCTAATTATGAGAAGTAAATATTGCAGAGATCAACTCCGTGGGGTTTTAAGAGAGAATGAGCATCAGATTTTTTTGAAATTTATTACATCTCTCTCCAAAATCATTATCATCCATCTGACATTGAAATTGGTTTTCAAAAATCTAATTAATTATGAGAAGTAAATGCAGAGAATAGGTTGGTGGGATTTTAAGAGAGAAGGAGCATCAGACATACTTCGACGTCACCGGCAGAGGCACCAGAAATATTCCCATCAAGTTTAAATAAAAAAAAAATTAAAAAAAATAAAAATAAAAATAAGAAATAATAATTAATGGGTCCACGGGTCATAACGGATTGACCTTGTCTATTTTCAACCAATCCATTTTTAACTCGTTCTTAATGGGTTGAATATGAGTCTTGACCCATGTTAACTCGTCCATTTTTAACCCAACCCGCTACAACAACCACGTCAGCGGGTCTCGCCATCTAAACACCATCACAACATTCTCACAGCCATCGCCGTTGTCGTTGATCAGACCTTTTATCATAGTTGGTTAAGCCTTTCCCGTTGTCGCCATTGGGCTGATTCCTACTGTGGCCATCCATATCTGTCACTGTCATATTCCTCACCAACTCTTTGCTATCGTCAGATTTATTGGTTGTCGCCGCTGCTTCGCCTTCCTCAATTTGCTAGAGATAACTTGGTTGGGTTGACCCTTCTATTTCGCTCTCTCTCTGTAAATATAACACACACACACACACACACACACACACACACACACACACACACACATACATATATATATATATATATATACGGGTAAAGCATAGCCATACCCACTGAGATTTGGTAAAAGGGTACTCAGAGAAAATTTATCTATTTTTTAGACAAAGACACCTCCTGAAGGTTCAAAAAAGGACAAAGACACCCCTTTACATGAAAAATTGACTAAATTACCCTTTGACCGTTTATGAAACTTTTTTAACTTTACAATTTAATAAATTGGACCAATCTACCCTCATGAATAATTTATGCATAAAAAAAGAGTTAAAAAAAAACATTATATTGTTCACTTCTTCTTCTTTTTTTTTTTTGTTTTGTTAATTACTTTATAAATGTTCTAACTTCGTAAAAATGTAGACGTCTAAAATGATTTTTTGATTCAATACATATATTTCAGATAAATTATATTTTGTTATTACTTCTTTTCTTTTTATTTTTTATTTTTAAATTAAGATGCTTAATTCTTACGTCTAAAAAAAATTAAACCAATCTATTTTCTTTAAAAATAAAAAATAGGGTACCAATATAACTTTATGCATCTTAAATTATATATCAAATATTATGCATTTTCCATCATAAAAAAAAAATAGGTAACAAAATAACTTTATGCATGCCTTTGTTTTTTTTTTCTTTTTCCCTTTGTTTTATTATTATTTTTTTCCCTTTTATGTTGGGAAATGCATAATATTTGATATATAATTTAAGATGTATAAAGTTATACTGATATCATATTTTTTATTTTTAAGAAAAAAAAATTGGTTTAATTTTTTTAGATGAAAGAATTAAGCATCTTAATTTTAAAATAAAAAAAGAAAAAGAAAAGAAGCAATAACAAAATATAATTTATTTGAAATATATGTATTGGATCAAAAAATCATTTTAGACGTCTACATTTTTAAGAAGTTGGGACATTTATAAAGAAAATAACCAAAAAAAAAAAAAAAAGGGAACAATATAAAGTTTTTTTTTTTTTTTGGTTACTTTTTTTTTTTTTTTTTTTTATGCATAAATTGTTCATGAGGGTAGATTGGTCCAATTTATTAAATTGTAAAGTTAAAAAAGTCTCCTAAACGGTCAAAAGGTAATTTTATCAATTTCTCATATAAAGGGGTGTCTTTGTCCATTTTTGAACCTTAAAGAGGTATCTTTATCCAAAAAATAAGTAACTTTCATCTAAATGTCCTTTTGTCAAACCTCAAGGGATGTGGCTGTACTTTACTCTCTCTATATATATATGGCTTGTACTATATTATACAACTGATTTTTTTTTTTTTAAGTTACATGAGGTGTCACCCTATAATGGGTTATTAAATTTATTTAATTTCATTTAAGTTGCCGAAGGAAATGGCGTTTTTTATTGTGAAGTGGCACCCTTTTTATGAGAGGGGTAAAATAGACTTTTCAAATTTTCGGTTATAGGAGATGACTGGAAAACCTTCTATGTCCTAAGACAACACCAAAATCATAGTTGAGGTGGATTAATTGCACTTGGAGTATAATTAAAGAGAGTTTATTGCACTTTACCCCAAAAAAAAAAAAAAAAAAAAAAAATCCCATCTGATTGACACAATTAATGGATTGATATGGTTTTTGGTTAAACTAGTTTTTTCTTTTCTTTTTCTTTTTTTTTTTTTTTTTTTTTTTTTGTGGCGTGGGTTCAAATCCACTCTCAACAATTAAAATTCATTTTTGAAAATTTTATTTTTTTATTTTTTATTTCGTTACTAGTTTTGCAACTTCCACTTTCCGGAAGAGGACACAAATCTGTCGAAGAAACCAAACCCTAATTCTAACCCCTAGCAATACCACGAAGGGCTAGCACAGTAAGAAGAAGAAGAACGATGAATTTGAGTTTTGTAAAGTCTGCAAACTGAATCACGACCAAGGTCAACGCCACAACTACTTTCCGAGCCACACCAAATCACTCTCTGCCTTCCACTCCCGATTCCAGACCAAACTCTCCGACGTCCACTTCTTCCTCAAAAACCCTAGCCTCCTCCGTCCAGAACATGCCTCTCGCAATCGACTCTGGTGCGTCTTCTGCCATTCTGACGTCGACGAGCTCACTAGCTCCTTCGCTTGGTAACTAAACTTCACACCTCTCTCCGTTTCAATTTCGATCCATTTGGTTGCTGAGAAAATTTAGAAAAGGAAAAAAGAATTTGAAATGTTTAACAAGAATTTTCTATTTTAGTTTGTAGAGTTTTTTATTTTTATTTATAAAAAAAAGACTGAACAATGCTTGACAAGAATTTTATGTGGAAATCAATCCTGTTATTCTTAGCAGAGTTGAAATTCTCCTTTTTCCGGAATAATACATAAGGGAAAACATTGGATACCGAGATTTATTTATTATTTTTGTTATTGTTTTTGGGTTTCATCTGAAGCAAAACAGAGGTTTATGGCTTTGGTTTTCAATTTTTATACTATTGTTGTATTGGGATTCTTGTTTTGAATTGTGTTAATATAGTGGTAATGCGATAAATCATCTGGCAAGTGAGGATCATTTGAAGAGATTTTTGGGGAAGTATGGCGGTGGGATGGATCGCTTGGATGCTTTAAGGATTTCTGATGTGGATCTTGCTAAGGTACTTTTCTCTTTTTTCGTGTCTTTTAATGCGTAATTTGCTTCTTTCGAATGTATTATATGTGCTGGTTGGTTATGACAGTAGATTGTTTCAAACTAGTGTCTTCTATAAACTAAGATAAATGAGTAGAGAATTATTGACATGAACAGTGGGCATACTAGAGAATTACTGACATGAACAGTGGGCAAGTAGCATTCAACCATCAGCTCTTGTTTTTGTAATTTATCACTGCACCACACTTAATAACTTACAGAATTATTCCTGCCCATCTGTATGTGAGAGGTCGTAATGACTGCAAAAATAGCAACCTCTAGAGTTGGGATGCATTTGGCTTCAATTTGTACCATCGTGCTTTACACTGACATAGTGACATACACTGGCCAACTTTCTAGGAGTTAAAAGTAAAACATAGCATTCGAATTACATGAAACACAATAGAAGAGTGTTCTGAATTTTTTTGAACTCGTTAGATACCATGAAAATATTAATCATAGACGGCCTTATTTAGCAGGTGTTTTTTTCTTGTTGTTGACAATTGGCTATGTAGACATCTAGAAATTACGTTTTTTCATTATAGTCAAAAGCCTTTTTCAACAGTTTTTAAGTGGCTTTGCTTTGGGGGAAAAAAACGGAAGCTTTTTAGAGCCTGTCAAGTTTTTTTCGTTATAGATGCTTTTCTGATTGGATGGTGACAGATTTTGAAAAGGTTTTCTGTTCAACAAAGGTCTTTTGTACATGTAAGTGTTACATATTTTATATTCTTAGGATTTTTGTAAGAGATACTTGGTACTTTTCATTCTCGATAATTGCATTTTGGATGACAATGTTTATACTTCAGAGCACAGCCACTTTGTACGAGTTTAATTTCCCTGCACGTGACATTGTCAGGTTGGTTGGTTGGTTTGTTTGTTTGTTTGTTCGTTGTTTTTTTTTTTTTTCCCACTTTCTCTAACCCAATTTTCCTTTATCCTAAGAAGTATTACTCAGTGTGTGTGAAAAAAAATATAATAGGTAACATTAACTCTCTCTCTGTCTCTCTCTCTCTCCATATCTAGATGTCTAGATACAAGTTCAGCTGCTGTATAAATATTATTTGCAGCATATATATGCTTTATTTTATTTTTCTTATGTAGAAATAAGTTTATTTGCTTATAAGTTATAACTGGAATTCATATATAAACTATGCGCGACCACACACACACTTGTGGGTACAAATTGTTCTGGCATATTGGCTTACTTAATCATTTGAGATAAAGGTAAGGATGATGATGAAATTATTATGGCATATGTTTTTATTAATTATATTGATACTATTAGAATCTCTACTCATTTAAATAAATATTATTTCTTTAGATATTTCTGTCACATTATTTACCAGTTTTCATGTATTTGTGGTTGCAGTGGGAGAAAAAGTGCAAATCATTGAAGAGTGGAGCTGCTACTGAAGGATCTCATGGACCTAATATTGGACCTTCAAATGATTTCCGCAATGAACTGAGCTCTGAATATATAGATACTTTTGACAAAAATAATATCCTTTCTCTTAAATCAAGCTTTTCAAATGGTGTTTTGCCTTTACAAAATTATACGAATGAGAGATATCAGGTATCCCATTCAGAACTATCTGAAGTCAGAGAGGTTGGCCCTCTTCTACATGATGATATCATACATGTGCATATTCTAAAAACCTCATATCTTACTATTAATGTTTAAGTTGTTGTGAAGGTTCTTGTGGAACAAGAATACTTGCACTGATATTTTGGTGCTTGTATTGTGATTCGTGTTACATGGATGGCCAACACTCTCTCCTTTATGATGGTAGGACATCCTCAGCTGATGGTTTTAGTAATGGAGGGGTAAGTTTGCTCATCCACATAATCTCCAAATTATTTGTTTTTGGTTCTAGTCCCTGGTTATATTATTATTATTATTATTTCTTATTCAGGTTTTATTTGGAAATATTTTTGTTTGGATAGAACTTTTAAAATGAGGTAGTTATTTGATTATAGACTTGCTAGAGACTTAACAACGGTGAGATGCCCTGTTTTGTAGGAAAGGATATGAATTTGAAAAAAAAATAGTTTAGATTTCTTCTTCTTCTTTTTTTTTTTTTTCAATCAAGGTAGCCAATGGGGAAAGTGATTCACTAAAGGGAGAGCATAGATTTTAGGACTCACCTCTTGTTGAAGGCTATTTCCTTCGGCCATATTTTTACCTCATTGCCTTTCAGGAAGAAATTAATGTTATCCAGGGTCAAGAACCGGCCATATTATACTGTGTGTTCCATTTATCGAAAAAAATATTATAATGTGTGTTCCGTAAGCCAACAAACTGTGTGTTTCTTTTTGTTCCGATTTTCAAGAGGCAACAATAGTCAGATACGACACTTATGTGATGGTCGGAATATGTGCTTCTTTAGGAAGGTTGAGATTTATGTTTTGATGTCTTCTGGAAAAACTGTCTTTGCATTGTACATCACCAGATATGGAAATGTTCGTTTAAATTTAAGTAAATGAAAATTTTAAATCAAACATTTTTTAATTCAACCGTGATTCATAAAATTTGAGTTTGTTTTTATATTATTGCTGATTCTGGGGTGGGATGAAGTTTTAAAAGTTTATGAAAATTTTCAGAAGTTATGAAAAATTGCTTTTGATTGGATTGGACAGAAAGTTATTTGCTTTCACTCAGTATTTGCAGGCTGTATTTCTCTCTTCATTTAGTCCTTGTTTACCAATTGAAAATGCTCAAGTGCGCCTTTAAATGCTTTGTGGTGGTTTACAGCTAATAGTAGCCCAAGTAACCTAAATTTTTGGGATAGATTACGCTAGAGAAATTATGTGGTGCATGGTGGGCGCCCTCAATATTACATATATCTATCTTTTTCTAGAGTTTGTATAGGCTAGTGTTGTGTTGGAATTTGGTGGTTGGCTTTTTGTGAATAGGTTTGCTTTTTGGTTAAACAAATATTAATTAATAATAAAAAAGGGTGACGAATTTTACAATGACTTTCTTAGTCGAGATTGAAATCTTTCCAAGTTACATGGACGTGGTTTGGTGCCTGGCTCCTTCTCAGGGATTCCCTGGCCTTTTAGATTGCATTGGGTGGAAACAACCTTTTTAAGAGCTTTTTAAAAACAGTGGAGTCTGATGGATGTTGCACCTAGCTTTTGCTTAAATATACAAGGTTGCGGAATTGACTATTTGGAGAATCTCTTAGTACAGGCCTTTACAACCCTAGATTGGACATTTGTTTCAGAATATTTTCTATTGTCTCATTTAATTGATCCTTGTGCATTCTAGTGATGTATCTCCACTTGTTCTCTATTTTGAAAGACGCGTTGCATTGAAGGTTGCATTTTTGTATAGACACTTAGAGAATGACCTCTCTCGGTTGTATGTTTCTTTGCCTTCTTTTCTTTTTTAATGATTTGTGGGCCATGGTCCACTTAGGTAATCACATTTTGACACAAGGTTGGGAATGTATGGGAACTTGTACTAAGGATGCTAGTCTTAATGGAAATCTAAAACGTGGCAGGCACAGTTCAAGCAAGATAGACATTGGCTTAATGTCTTGTCTTAGACCAGGGATTTTTTCTCTTTGTTGGCGCCTTCTTTTTTACTCTTACGGGCTTATAGCCTCGTAATTTGTGGGTGGTAGTATTTTGACTTGACAAGATTCACTGGGATTTTAGAGGCTATATGGATTATGGAGCACTGGTGGCCTCTCCTGTGAGGGAGGATATGACCATGTACTTGCACATTTGTGTCCAAAGAACTTGTCTTCTGGCAGTTAAGCTGGGGATTTGACAATTGGTTTTAAGTCTGTTAGAAAGTTGTTAATGTATTATTTTGGCTTAAAAACTTGTTTCTGGACATTTTCTGGAAATTTGATTGGCCCTAAAACCTTTTGCAAAAACTGTGTGTGTGTATTAGTTCTGTAGTTTTGTTTGTGATATTCTCATAATTGTCTGCTCTGTATCTCAATGAAAATTGTTCACTAATTCTGCCAAATTGAAAGGGTGATTTATTGGTACAATGGTATAAGTTGAACTGATAAGTATGAAGACACAGGTTCAAGACTGAAACATTCACTTTGTGCAAATTAATGACAAATGTTAGACATGGCTCTAATTTATCCCTCACAGCACGCATTCAATTGGTACTCTTCAGATAGATAAGTTTCTGTTTGTGTCATTTTTGTTTTCTTTGTTTCATCTTCATAAAAAAATTGACTACAATTTATTGTGCTCCATATAACTCATGTTATGAATTTTGTAAATTATTCACTTGAGTGCTTGAGATAGGTTTAAGCTTTAAATTTTCATCGTTTCAGAATACCTGCATGCAAAATGGTGCAACGGATTGCATATAGCATGAACAACACAGTTAAGAATGGAGTGTTGTAAAAGCTACTTATGATGGAAGTACAATTTTTGATGCTTGAAAAGAACTGCTTTCCTTAGCCCAATATGGCTCTTTTATACGAAAAAGTTTTTCTAAAAGAAGAATAATAAAATAGAACATATTACAAAGAAACCTAAAAAAGCCAACAAGACTTTTCTAAAATCCTAAAAAGATAATAAACATGGAAAATGTTTTACCAGTGATGAAGAGAAAGAAAGCCTAATCTTATATATCAGCTTAACAGTGCAAAGTGTTATAAATTTGTTATGTGATGTTGACATTAAAAAGTCAATTCTTTACATTTCTTTCTCTGTCTCTTTGCTTTCCTGTGGTTAAATACTGCTTCCTATATTCCTTCAGATTCTTAGTTTGCTTTGTTTGATTTTCAATTTTGTAATGGGATTAGATCAAACATTTTATTCTGTTCATATAAATTCATTGTTAAACCATTGGCAAACATTTAATGTCTGTGGTATAGCTGTGCCAGGTCTGTCAAGATGGAAGAACAATTAATGGAGGAAGCATTTGTCAGGGTATACAAGTTTGACTACTATAATTTGGTTTTTGTTTCTTATCTAAATTTCTACTTCAATGCTAATTTCTCTGAAGCAGCATGGTTCATAATTTGGTGAAATTGTTTTAAGGAATTCAATTTCAGGCATCATATGCTGTAAAACCCATATAGGTATATGGGCAGTGTAGTGCTAAAGAAGATCGATATGGTGGATTTGTTTCACATGCATTGCTTATCTGAGATCTTCTATTATTTTCAGGTTTGCACATCACTCAAATTTCATCCACTGTTCGTGAAGATGGTAAAGGAAATGTGCATTCTGGAGCACCTCCTCCTTGGTTCAATGCAACTGAGGCAAATCCACTAAATGTTGGACTAAAACCTGGGTTAGGACTGAGTACTGTTGCCTCTCCTCTCAGTAAACCTGGGAAGTCCCAGAAATTGAACCCGAAACGGGTGGGAGCTGCTTGGGCAGAGAAGAGAAAGATTGAACTGGAGATGGAAAGGAGAGGAGTGTGTATTGCCAATAATTTTGATGCTAACTGGCTCCCTAATTTTGGTAGAGTTTGGCAATCAGGTAGCCGAAAGGAATCTAGAAAAGAATTTGAGGTGGAGGACAAAAAACCGCTAAAGGTTGAAACTGAAACTGAGACATCAATCAAGATACAGCCTTACATAAGCAAACGAATGGTAAACCTTGAATCCCCATGTACCATGTTATAAAGTTTTTATTTTTCTTCGTTATTTTAAAGAGATTAGATTATGGCTTTTGATATATAATCTCATTTTACAATTGTGTGCCTGGATAGTGATTTGTTTTTCGTATGTATTCCTTCATTTATCTCCTATGGTTGATATAGAGCTTGCAATTTCTGGTCTATCCTTATTATGATACGTCGTGTTCATGCAAGCAGTACAAGGAGTAACTTAAAAGAGTAGCATTAGCATCAATTTAGAGTAGATTAGAATTAATTAGAGAAATTTTGGTTGTGTGTTGTATTAAATGCAGTTCTTATGTTTCTGTAAATTTAAACTACTGTATTATTATTATTATTATTATTAGTATTAATTTTTGTAGAACTTGGAGGAAAGTATTATCACCTCCATTTTTTTCCCTTTTATAGTGGTTGGGTTGCACAGACATGCTTCTGCTTTTATTATAATGCCACTACTACTACTATTAATTTCTTGTGGAACTTGGAGGAAAGTATTGTCATCTCCAATTTTTTATTTACTTTTCTGGTGGTGGGTTTCCATGCGCATGCTTCTGCATTTACTATTACAACTTGTTACCCACTATTTCATTTGGTCTCTCACTAATGCTAACAAAATTCTACTTAGTTATCTCACTAATACTGGGTATTGAGCACCCACTAACTGAGGCTAACTTGTTTCCTTTGGTTGTTGCAGCGAAGGGATGACGGGAAGTAGTGCTTTTTGCCAAGCAGGCTTAAAAGTTTTTAGATCCCGGTGCTACTTAGAGTATGCATATATTTTTCTGTATTCACCTTCAATTTTGATTGGAGGTCAAATGGATCCAGAATTTTGTTAAAAGAGGCAGCTCATTGAAAATCAGCTTCAAAGTCCAGTCATAAATCCGTTTCTCCAGAGCATTGGACTAAAAATGCTGTCAACTTAGATGTCCACACAACACATGTATATATACACACACATTAGTGGGACATGTCAATTTTTGTTCATCGCTGTAGTGTTCTATGCTAACTCACCAATCATTGTCATTGAATTCAGCAAACTCGTCATTAGGTGATGCATCAAAAGAACATCTGTAATACACTATTATTGAGTTTCAGTTGTAATGACAGTCAAGGTGGATTGCATTTTTTCGAACCTAGGGTTTTTTTTTTCTTTTTGGCAGAATTTGCCCTTGTATATTTGCTTAAGCTGAAACTGAAGGCTTCCTGACTCCAAATTATTACTTATTGAAAAATAGATTTTAGTTTGTGTTCTGTTCTTCATTGAAATCCTAGGCTGGAACCTCTCAATTTCAATATTTCGTTTGTATTGGGGTAAAATTTTGTGACATGTTTTAAACTTGTTCAGCTTTCCAGAGATGGCAAACATTCGGGCCTGTCTGAAATTATTTTCTGTTCTCGACATAGGATAGAAAAAACGATGTGGAACGTTTTTGGCATAGTATTTTACGTAATATTATGTTTGGGAGCATGGAAAATTAGTTCAAACTCTGCGCTAATACCATGCTTTCCATAAGCAACACAACTGTTTTTTGAAAAACTCTCGTGAACATAAGGGGTCCATACTTTTGCTTTGACCCAAAGCAAAATCAATGTTTCTGCTTTGAAAGTTTGTTTGGTAATGTATATTTGTTGCAAGACTTTTAGGAACAAAAAAATGAATGGTAAAAAATGTTACAAGTTTGAAAAATTAAATGGTTAGTTAAAAATGTTTGTTTTATTTTATTTATTTATTTTTTTTCCGAGGGAACAATGCTTTTGCTATAGTGCGGAAGCAACCAAAAATATCAATTTTTTGTTTCTGATTTTGGTTTATTTTTTGCAAGCGTTTTGATGCTATTCAAATAGTAAGAAACGTACAGTAAGCTAACAAAAGCAAAAAAAAAAAAAAAACACAAAACAGAAACCATGTCAAACAAACTCTAAAACAGGTATTATTTTCGATTTATTATCGGACCAACATTCAAGCTACAATTATGTGAGCTTCTGTACTTGCACAAAAGCTAGCTTTTGTGCAAGTACAGAAGCTTTGGAACAAATAGCTTTTGTGCAAGTACAGAAGCTTTGGAACAAATACATCCAACTTCATATTCGTAATAGTCTCAAAATGACAAAAACAGCTCATTATTGCTATTTTACAAACAGTGCATGAAATAAACGAAGTATACCCACCCCCAATAACGAACTAAAATACAACATTTAGAACTGTGTAAAGCTGAAAATAAAACAGGTCAATATCAATATGTGAATGTCCCATTACCTTGGGTGATCACATCTTCCAAGGCTCCCGACCACTCATATGGTCCAACTACATCCAGCAAGTAGGGACCAGGGGTATCCAACATTTTCTGAATTGCAGCTCTAACATCTTCCTTCTTTGTCACACGGGCAGCAGGTATATTCCAAGCTTGTGCAAGCTTCACCGGATCATCCCAATGACGAACCATACCCGGACGTCGGTTGCTCAGCAGCATTATCTTCACCGGAAGATCCTCCCTACCGATTGTCCCCAACTCTTGTACATTCATCAGGAAACTTCTCTCTCCATCAATGTCCACAACAACAGCATCAGGTCGTGCAACAGCAGCCCCGATTGCCACAGGTAAACCAAAACCCATAAACCCCAATCCACCTGATGTCAGCCACTGCCTAGGCGTATTAAACTTGTAGAAACACGCAGCCCATATTTGATGCTGCCCAGCACCACCAGTAGTTATGATGGCATTCCCCTTCGTCAACTCACCAAGAACCTGAATTGCATATTGTGGAGGAATAGCTTCTTCAAAAGTCTTGAAACTCGAAGGGTTTTTAATTTTCTGCATCTTGAGCTCCTGCCTCCAAGCTGAAAAATCAAGCTTACCCTCACCTTCTTTCCTCTCTAGTATCATATTCATACCGTTCAGAGCCAACTTCACATCTGCCCAAAACGGCCAATGTGCTTGCTTATTCTTCCCTATCTCAACTGAATCTATGTCAATATGAACAATTTTAGCCTGGCTAGCGAAAGTTTCAAGCTTTCTAATCGCACGGTCATCAAAACTTACGCCAAGGGCAAGCAACAAATCACTTTTATCTACACCATAATTAGCATAAACAGTACCGTGCATTCCAAGCAGTTGTAGGCAAAGCTCATCAGAACACGGGTATGCCCCGATACCCATTAAACTACATGCCACCGGAATCCCGGTAAGCTCCACAAATCGCCTCAACTCCTCACTTGAATCCAAACACCCACCACCCACATACAAAACAGGCCTCTTTGACTCCGATATCAACCTAACAATCTGTTCCAATTGGGGCTCATTGGGTGGTTTTGGCAATTTAGGCGTGTAATCAGGTAATTTAATGGGTTGATCCCAATTTGGAACAACCATTTGTTGTTGTAGTATATCTTTTGGAATATTAATTAACACAGGACCTGGTCGGCCCGAAGATGCAATAAAGAAAGCTTCACGCACAGTTCTAGGAATGTCTTCTACATCTAAAACAAGGTAATTATGCTTAGTGATCGAGCGAGTTACCTCAACGATTGTTGAGGTTTCTTGAAATCCGTCAGTGCCGATTGTCCGACTGGGGACTTGTTCGTTAATGACCACTATTGGGACGCTATCGAGCAACGCGTCAGCGAGTCCGCTGGCCAGATTGGTGGCGCCGGCCCCCGAAGTGGTGGCGAAGCAGACGCCCGGGAGACCGGAGGCGCGTGCGTAGCCGTTGGTAGCGAAGACACCACCCTGTTCGTGCCGCGCAGTGACGTTTCGGATGGTGGTGGAGCGTCTGAGGGCTTTGTGGATCTCCAATGACGCGACGCCCTGGGAGGCGAAGACGTTGGTGACGCCTTCGCGCTCGAGGGCTTCGACGAGGACGTCGGATCCCTTTCTGGGTTCGTCCGCTGCGAATCGGGATATGAAGGTTTCGGGGAGGGCTTTGGCGGCGGTTGTGGTGGGTTTGGGGTTGGAACGGACACTGGAGAAGGAGAAATGACGGCGGGGAGTGGGTTTTTGGGGGTTAAAGGGTAATCGGAGGGCAAGGCTTGGGAGTGAGAAAGTAGAGGGCAATAAGAGGGAAGCGCGCGAAACAGTGGCCTCCATTTTTAACGAGCAGAGAGAGAAACAGACGTCTGGTAGCTTTAGGGTTAGCTTTGCTACCAATAGCAACAGACCCAGTCCGGTGACTGTAGGTAGACAACGATGTTCATATATATATATATATCACTTTTATTAGAAATGAAGAGCTGTTAAAAGAAAGTAAACGAAACAAAAATCTTTAAGAAATTCCTCCATAAATATTTAAAAATTTTAGTTTTTCATGAAAGTTGTAACATTATATTTTGATCTCTTATTATTTTCTTGCTAGTTATTTATCTTCATATTAAAATTCTGTTATTATACTACAATTTTATGACTATTTATTTTAGGATTCTTCCCCATATTTTCACAAAAAAAAAAAAAAAAAAAAAAAAAAAAAAAAAAAAAAAAAAAGAAGAAGAAAAAGAAGACAGAGTGATACGACAAATCTAAAAAAATAAGGATATATATATATATATATATATATATATTTGATATTTAGTGTGTTTTGAAATGAAATTTTGTGTTTTCTTAATTTATAAATATGTTAATTATTACATTTAAATTAATAATATTACACGAAATTGATATATATATATCAATTTCGTTTCAAAACACACTAAATATCAAATAAATATAAATATATATATATATCTATCTTATATCCTTGTTTTTTTAGATTTGTCGTATCACTGTATCTTCTTCTTCTTCTTCTTCTTAAACCATTCATTACAGGAAAAAAAACAAAAGAAAGAAGCTGATTTGCATCAGTTTTTAAAAAAATCCTTTAAATAATATTCTCCGCGCATTCTAGTTGTATTCAAAAAGTCTCCTCCGCGACTGTCTGGCCCATGGATGTTTTTTTTTTTTTTGGTTATTTTATTTATTTATTTTTTTATCATTCCTTAGATGAAAGTTAAGGAAGAAAAGAAAATTAATTATTGTAGGATTCATTTGGTTCCTATTGAATAATTTTTAAGAAAAATGAGCAAAAGTGTCATTTGAGTTGTTGAAACAGATTGTGTTTAAAACTAATGTATAAACATATTTTAATTTTAGAAAGTAAACTAGTATAAATGAGAATTCATATTATAAAGAGTATATATATATATATATATATATATATATATATTAAAGAAAGCAAAAATTTTCAGGAAATAAACGGGTAGAATAAGATACGGAAAGGTGATACGGTAAATTAAAAAAAAAAAAAATGCGAATACAACAAATACTTCAATTTTTTAAAATATAATTTTATTAATTTCCTATAATATTATGACTTTAAATGCAATAATTAACATATTCGTAAATAAAAAACAAGTATATAAAATACAAGATTTCATTTCATAACAAGCTAAACATCAAATAAAATTTTAATGTCTTAAACAACATGAAAAAAAATATAAAAAAGTTGATTTGAATAAATTTTTTTTTAAAATCCTTTGAAAAGTATCATCAATCCCAGTCGTATCCAAAAATTATCTCTGTATATCCTCAGCATATCCCAATCATAAAATTGAATATTTTTCCGGGGAGTATCATACACGTGTCCGATACCGCACGACACCTTCGAGAAAATATCCGTGTTCAATAAAGTTTAAAATTTTTTCATTATTTTTCCTATCTAGCTGTTTCATCTAACCAAACTAAGCCTTAAATCCTCCTAGATTCACCTAGAATCATTTGCTTATTTATATAACCATAAATCAAATCAGAAAATTGAATAATCCCCTCCTTAGAAACAAAAAATATCAAATAATATTAATGCAGTTACTATATGAAACATATCAATATAAATTTCCAAAGTTCTGAAACATATGTTCAGGGCAAAGTATAAACTGTTGGACTGACAATTGGATAAAGGGAGCTGAGCATTACCCTCCGTAACTATTGTTGCAGACCTCATTGATCCTCTTAGAAGGTGGAGAAAAGACATTAACAGATCCTTATTAAATCCGAGGGACTCAACTCTAATTCTGCAAACTACCTTGAAATACTTAGAAAAGAATGGTACGGTGTTTTTCTTGTTTTGGTTAAGATTTAAGTCATGCAGGTCGAGAGCAAGTGTGGAAGCGAATGTGAGAGTAAGAGTAAGAGTAAGAAAACGACAAAATCTAAGTCACACGTAGTGAGATTGAAAATAAGAGTGAAGTGCGAGAATGGAAGCATGGAATTAAATGGATAGTAGCACTCGTTTAGAAGAATTATGTAACTTAGGTCAAAACTGACTATCAATGAGCCATCAAACTATCCAAGCAACCTACAAATAATAATATGCACCATAGTCCAAGCATCAGTCAAGAATTTAAATCAAATTGGAAAGGCTTGTGGAATCTTAAAATCAAGAAGAAAATTATTATTATTATTATTTTTATTTTTGTAATATGGTCATGATAGATCCAATACCTCCCCTTTCATTATCCGGCAATCTAGAGAAGAAGCAATGATTGGTGCTTTAATCAAGTTCTTTGATCACTCAGCTGTAGATTGCAGTGTTATTTCATTGGAAAATAATTTTTACACCGACCAGTTGTAATGAATTACTAAACTTAATATTTTTAATTTTATCTCTAGACCGTGTGTTATCTCATTGAAAAATGATTTTTACACCGATTACTTATAGGAATTGTTAGACTTACCATTTTTAATTTGTATTTTATACAATAAATAAAAGAGTAAAATCCTCAACTTATTTGTATTTAGTATAAATAACTAATAAAAAAATTATTCGAAAATATAACCAGGTTGGCCATTTTTCTAGGGTAAGCTAATAGAAAATGTAACCAGGTCATGTTATAAGTATTTAGTGTGAATATCTGTTTCTATTTTGAAATCTTGCAGAAAAAAAAAAAAAAAAAGAAGAAGTTTTAATATTTAAATAAGAAGGTAGTCTCTAGAAACTCAACTCCATTTTTGGTTTTTCCAAAATTTTTAAATAATTACTTTTTTCATCCCTACACAACTTAAAGTAATTAAAAATTACTACTTTTGTTTTATTATTATTATTTTTGAAGTGGACCTCTCCAAATTCCCAAACAACATGAGATAAAAATAAAAAAGAAAAAAGAAAAAAGGACAAACAAATGGCAGCAGACAATAATTAATATCTACATACTCTTTTGGTATTAGATAACTGAAATTATTATCTACATATTCGTTTTGTTTGTTTCCCAAAACAATATCTTTTCACCCCATCTATTTTTCCATTTTGTTAAAAAAGGGGCAGCTCATTGAAGAAAATCAGCTTCAAAAGGTTAATGTATTCAGCAAACTCAATCAATGTTTCTGCTTTAAAATGTTTTCAATACTAATGTATTTGTTGCAAGATATTTGGAAACAAAAACAGGAAAACATGATTGGTAAAAAAGTATTGCAAGTTTGAAAAATTAAATGGATAATTAAAAATGTCTTTTTATTTATTTTTTATTTTTTTTAGGGTGAATAATGCTTTTACTATAGTGCGGGAGCAACCAAAAATATTAATTTTTTGTCTCTTATTTTGACTTATTTTTGCAAGCATTTGGATATTATTCAAATCGTAGCAAACATTACGAAATATGTTTGTACTTTTGCTTCGTTATATTAAGTTGGCAGAAGCAAAAAATACCAAACAGAAATTATTACCAAACAAATCCTAAAATAGGTGTTATTTTCGGTTTATTGTCGGACCAACATTCAAGCTACACTTAGGTAAGTTTCTGCACTTGCACAAAAGCTATTGTGGTTTGAATATGCTGCACATTCCTTTTAACACGGATATAAATGTTTTGGTTAAATGTTGTACTTTAGTGATAGCTTTCTTATCATTCAAAAAAGTTACAATGATTACCATTATGATTATACCATATTGAAGCAAGAAAGTTTAAACATCACATCTGGCCTACATGTCAATCAGCTCAACAGAAAAGGAGAAGTCATACCCCTTTACTATGTGGCAACTTTCATCAATCCAAACCCTGATAACACGGGGCCACCACCGTAATTCATCATTAAAGCAAAGCAAGTAATCTTTGTAACATTACAAACAAATAGATCGAACTTCATATTCGTAACAAAAAAGCTCATTATTGCAAACAGTGCATGAAATAAATAATTATACCCCACCCCCAATAACGAACCATGTAAAGCTGAAAATACAACAGGTCAAGCCATTCCTACCTACGACACTTAGAACTATGTAAAGCTGAAAAATACAAAAGGTCAATATCAATATGTGAATGTCCCATTACCTTGGGTAACCACATCTTTCAGGGTTCCACACCACTCATATGGTCCAACTACATCCAGCAAGTAGGGACCAGGGGTATCCAACATTTTCTGAATTGCAGCTCTAACATCTTCCATCTTGGTCACACGGGCAGCAGGTATATCCCATTCTTCTGCATGCTTCACCGGATCATCAAGATGAGGAACCGTACTCAGCACCATTATCTTTACCGGAAGATCCTCCCTACTGATTGTCCCCAACTCTTGGACATTCATCAGGAAACCTCTCTCACCATCAATGCACACAACAGCAGCATCAGGTCTTGCAACAGTGGCTCCGATTGCAGCAGGCAAACCAAAACCCATAAACCCCAACCCACCTGATGTCAGCCACTGCCGAGGCCCATTAAACTTGTAAAAATGCGCAGCCCACATTTCATGCTGCTCAGAACCACCAGTACTTATAATGGCATTCCCCTTGGTCAACTCACCAAGAACCAGAATTGCATACTGAGGAGAAATAGCTTCTTCAAAAGTCTTGAAACTCAATGGGTTTCTAATTTTCTGCACCTTTAGCTCCTGCCTCCAAGCTGAAAAATCCAGTTTACCCTCACCTCCTTTTCTCTCTAATATCTTATTCATACCGTCCAGAGCTAACTTCACATCTGCCCAAACCGGCCAATGAGCTTTCTTATTCTTCCCTATCTCAACTGAATCTATTTCAATATGAACAATTTTAGCCTGGCTAGCAAAAGTTTCAAGCTTTCCGATTGCACGGTCATCAAAACTTACCCCAAGGGCAAGCAACAAATCACTTTTATCTACACCATAATTAGCATAAACAGTACCGTGCATTCCAACCATTTGTAGGGAAAGCTCATCAGAACACGGGTACGCCCCGACACCCATCAAACTACATGTCACCGGAATCCCGGTAAGCTCCACAAATTGCCTCAACTCCTCACTTGAATCCAAACACCCACCACCCACATACAAAACAGGCCTCTTTGACTCAGATATCAACCTAACAATCTGTTCCAATTGGGGCTCATTGGGTGGTTTTGGCAATTTAAGCATGTAATTAGGTAATTTAATGGGTTGATCCCAATTCGGAACAACCATTTGTTGCTGTATATCCTTAGGAAAATTAATTAACACAGGGCCTGGTCGGCACGTAGATGCAATAAAGAAAGCTTCACCCACAATTCTAGGAATGTCTTCTCCATCTAAAACAAGATAATTATGCTTAGCGATCGAGTGATCAGTTACCTCCACAATTGTTGAGGTTTTTTGAAATCCGTCGGTGCCGATCATCCGTCTGGGGACTTGTCCGTCAATAGCTACGATTGGGATGCTATTGAGCTTCGCTTTGGTCAGTCCGCTAACCAAATTGGTGGCCGAAGTGGCGATGCAGACGCCAGGGAGGCCGGAGGCGGTTGCGTAGCCCTCGGCAGCGAAGATGCCACCCTGTTCGTTTCGGATGGTGCTGGAACGTGTGAGGGCTTGGTCGATCTCCAACGACGCGCCGCCCCGGTAGGCGAAGACGTTGGTGACGCCTTCGCGCTCGAGGGCTTCGACGAGGACGTCGGATCCCTTTCTGGGTTCGTCTGCTGAGAATCGGGATATGAAGTTTCCGGGGAGGGCTTTGGCGGCGGTTGTGGTGGGTTTGGGGTTGGAACGGACACTGGAGAAGGAGAAATGGCGGCGGAGAGTGGGTTTGGGGTTTCTGGGTTTTGTGAGATAGAGAGTAGAGGGCAATAAAGGGGAAACGCGCAAAACTGCCTCCATTTTTAACGAGCAGAGAGAGAAACAGACGTCTGGTATCTTTAGGGTTAGCTTTGTTACCAATAGCAACAGAACCAGTCCGGTGACTCTGGTAGACAACGATGTTCATATATATATATATATTTCACGTGTTATTAGAAATGAAGAGCTGTTAAAAGAAAGGAAAAGAAACAAAAATCTTTAAGAAATTCCTCCATAAAATATTTAAAAATTTTAGTTTTTCTTGTAACATTATATTTTGATTTCTTATTATTTTCTTGTTAGTTGTTTATCTTCAGATTAAAATTCTGTTATTATACTACAATTTTATGACTATTTAAATTAGGATTCTTCCCCACATTTGCAAAAAGAAAAAAAAAAAAAAACAAAAATTAACTAATCTAATATAGTAGTTGAGACTTCATATATAATGCAAACTAAAAAAAAAAAAAAAGATTTCATTTCACAACACACTAAATATCAAATAAATTTATAGTTTTAAAGACTTAAACCATTCATTACACGAAAAAAAGGAAGAAGCTGATTTGCATCAGTTTTTTAAAAAATCCTTTAAATAGTATTCTCGGCGACTGTCTCGTCCATGAGTTTATTTATTTATTTATTTATTATTATTATTTTTCCTTAGATGAAAGTTAACGAAGAAAAGAAAATGAATTTTTGTACGATTCATTCGGTTCCTATTGAATAATTTTTAAGAAAAATGAGCAAAAGTTTAATTTGAGTTGTTGAAACAGATTGTGTTTAAAACTAATGTATAAACATATTTTAATTTTACACAGTAAACGAGTATAAATGAGAATTCATATTATATATATATATATATATATATATATTAAAGAAAGCAAAAATTTTCAGGAAATAATTGGGTGGTTAATATGAAGAAAAATGTTCCAATAAAGTTACATCCGCTCTCTCAGAAGGTTCAGCAAAACTAAGACCAAGGAGGGGAGCCTATTCGCCATCAAACTCACGCGAATCTCTTTCTTTCTCTCATATGAAACACGGATACGGGTAGAATAAGCCACGGAAAGGTGAGTAAATATTAAAAAAAATAAAATGCGAATACAACATATACTTCAATTTTTAAAAATATATACATACACGCCACACATATATATATATTTTAATTTCCTATAATATTATGACTTTAAATGCAATAATTAACATATTCATAAATAAAAAATAAGTATATAAAATACAAGATTTCATTTCATAACAAGCTAAACATCAAATAAACTTTTAATGTTTAAACAACATGAAAAAAAATATAAAAAAGTTGATTTGAATAAATTCTTTTTAAAAATCCTTTGAAAAGTATCATCGATCTCAATCATATCCAAAAATTATCTCCGCATATCCTCAGCGTATCCCAATCATAAAATTGAATATTTATCCGGACAGTATCAGACAAGAAAATATAGGTTTTCAATAAAGTTTAAAAATTTTTCATTATTTTTCCTATCAAGCGGTTTCATCTAACCAAGGTAAGCCTAAAATCCTACTAGATTCACCTAAAATCATTTGCTTATATTTATAACCATAAATCTAATTATTTACTTAAACAGAAAATTGAATAATCCCCCCTTAGAAACAAAAAATATCAAATAATATTAATGCAGTTAATATATGAAACATATCCATATAAATTTCCAAAGTTCTGGAACATATGTTCAGGGCAAAGTATAAACTGTTGGACTGACAATTGGATAAAGGGAGCTGAGCATTACCCTCCGTAACTATTGTTGCCGACCTCATTGATCCTCTTAGAAGGTGGAGAAAAGACATTAACAGATCCTTATTAAATCCGAGGGACTCAACTCTAATTCTGCAAACTACCTTGAAATACTTAGAACAGATTGGTAAGGCGTTTTTCTTGTTTCAGTTAAGATTTAAGTCATGCGGGTCAAGAGCGAGTGTGGAAGCGAATGTGAGAGCAAGAGTAGGAAAACGGCAAAATCTAAGTCACACATAGTAAGATTGAAAATCAGAGCGAAGCACGAGAACGGAAATACGTAACCTGATAGCAGCATTTGTTTAGAATAATTATGTGACTTAGGTTAAGACTAGCTATCAATGAGCCATCAATCTATCCAAGCAACCTACAAATAATAATATACAACATAGTCCAAGCATAAGTTTAAATCAAAATGGAAAGGCTTGTGGAATCTTAAAATCAAGAAGAAACTTACTATTATTATTATTAGGGATAATTTCACTGACACCCCAGTAGTTTGGCCAAATATTAGTTTAAAACATTTTTCGAAAATAATTATCACTCACATTACAAATGTTTGCTCCGTTTTTTACTCACACCCCAAAAGTTAGTTGACAGATGTGTCAGATGTCTTTTTACATGTAAAAAGACATTCTTACCCTTTGACTTTGGTTTAACCCACTAAATTATTTCTTTAATAATTAAAATTACATGTTTACCCTCATTTGACTTTAGTTTGACTATTCAAATGACATGTTTACCCTTCCTTTTCCATATACAAGAATAAATAAAATTGGTGATCAACATCATACAGTGTGGTATTGTAAAAAGACATTCTTACCCTTTGACTTTGGTTTAACCCACTAAATTATTTCTTTAATAATTAAAATTACATGTTTACCCTCATTTGACTTTAGTTTGACTATTCAAATGACATGTTTACCCTTCCTTTTCCATATACAAGAATAAATAAAATTGGTGATCAACATCATACAGTGTGGTATTGAGGGCTATTATATGCCACACAAGTGTCCGGTTCTATATTTTTTTAAGAAAATTAATGAAATTTTAAGTAAGAAAATTTTATTTTATTTTATGGAAATTAATGAAATTTAAAAAGAGAAAGAGAAAAATAAGAAAAATTTTAAAAACTAAAATAGAATAATAAAATAAGAAAAATCACCCATTCATATATTTTTTTAAGGAAATTAATGAAATTTTATTTTTTTAAGGAAGTTAATGAAATTTAAAAAGAGAAAGAGAAAAATAAGAAAAATTTTAAAAACTAAAATAGAAAAATAAAATAAGAAAAATCACCCATTATATATATATTTTTATAATTTGAATTATATATGTTTAGGTTCGTGAGAATTGCTTATTGCATGTTTATGTTTTTTCAGATTGGTGAATTTGTATGATTTAGGAATTAATTGGTTGACAAAAATTTCAAATTTATTACTCCATTTATTTTTAGAGGAGTGCTAACTGCTAATTAATTAGTTGACTTAGGAATTAATTGGTTGAATTTATATGTTTATTCAAAATTCCCTCTCCGCTCTCTTTCTCTCTCTTCTTTTTCTCTCTCTAATCTCTCAGGCCAGACAAGTCTCCGGCACCGACACCATCAACGAAGACACCCACTCTTATGCTGCCACCTCCTACAACCCATCTGGTGCATTTAGTTACATCCGGTAAGCCCAACTAATGTCGAAAACTCTTAAATAAACAGGTGGAGAGAGAGACAGAGAGATTGAGAAAGTGTAGGCATCGATGATGGAAGTGAACCCATATTTGCAGACCTAAATTACAGAGGCACCGACGATGGTGCCAAAATAGTGGAAGAGAACCACTATTTGCAGACCTAAATTGCAGAGGCATTGACGATGAACCCATATTTGCAGATCCACTTGATCGACAATACGCAGTTGGATGGAAGGTATATGGATTTGCTCGGTGATGTATGTAGATGGCTCTGGAACTTGGGCTTGATGGTACGAAATTTGAACTCTAGAAGGTTTTGTGTATCTGTAGAGAAGAGATCGAGGAACAACTGGGTGGAGTTAGAAATTCGGGAGCATAGAATTTGGATAGAGATAGAGGAGAGAGAAATAGTGTGTGTAGGGGTAAAGAAGTCATTTATATTATCTAATATTTTAGAATAAATGTGATTAAAAAATTAGGAGCAAACATGTCTTTTCCCATATTTTTAACGTAGAAGCGAAAATGGACCTAAGTAATAGTTATTTTTAAAAAATATTTTAGACTGATACTTGGCCAAACTATTGGGGATGTCAGTGAAATTATGCCTTATTATTATTATTTTTGCAATATGGTCATGATAGATCGAATACCTCTCCTTTCATTATCCGGCAATCTAGAGAAGAAGGAATGATTGGTGCTTTAATCAAGTTCTTTGATCACTCAGCTGTAGATTGTAGTGTTATCTCATTGGAAAATAATTTTTAAACCGACTACTTATCATGACTTACTAGAGTTAATATTTTTAATTTTATTTTTAAACTTATTAGTTTTAATTTATATTTTATACAATAAATAAAAGAGTAAAATCCTCAACTTATTTGTATTTAGTATAAATAACTAATAAAAAAATTATTCGGTTAGATATTTGGTGTGAGTATCTACCTCATTTGTTAAACTCTCAATATTTTTCTAGGATAGGCTAATAGAAAATGTAACCAGGTTGCCCATGTTATAAGTATTTGGTGTGAGTATTTATTTCTATTTTGAAATCTGGTAGGGAAAAAAAAAAAAAAAAAAAAAAAAAAGTTTTAATATTAAATAAGAAGGTAATCTCTAGAAACTCAACTCCATTTTTGGTTTTTCCAAAAATTTTAAATAATTACTTTTTTCATCCCAACACAACTTAAAGTAATTAAAAATTACTACTTTTGTTTTGTTATTATTATTTTTGAAGTGGACCTCTCCAAATTCCCAAACAACATGAGGTAAAAATAAAAAAGAAAAAAGAAAAAAGGACAAACAAATGGCAGCAGACAATAATTAATATCTACATACTCTTTTGGTATTAGATAACTGAAATTATTATCTACATACTCTTTTTGTTTGTTTCCTAAAACAATATCTTTTCACCCCATCTATTTTTCCATTTTGTTAAAAAAGAGGCAGCTCATTGAAGAAAATCAGCTTCAAAAGGTTAATGTATTCAGCAAACTCATCATTATTCGAGGTGAGCTTACATTTTTGTATCTGGTTACAATTTCAGCAGAGCAAGCTTGCAAAGCATGTTTAAAAATTCAATTACTCTATTTAGAGAATTACAACTGTTTTGGCTAAATGTTACCAAAGTGTCTAACTCGGTGCAACTTCTTTACCTTCCAAAATAGGATCCAAAATAAGAAATGGAAGCAATTTTTTTGTTGTACAATGATTTATTCTCAAAACAAAAACATCTTCGGCAAGTAATGTCCCCAATCCTCTTTGCACAATGTACAATAACCTTATATCATTCTCTAGAATCACATTAGCATATATCGATGTCCAATCCTGTTTTGAATCTTTGAATGAAAATAGGTTAATCACATCTAGCATACATGTCCATACTCAACCCAGCAATGATAATAAGGGTTCACGACCATAATTCATTAAAGCACAACAATTATCTCAGGAAGATTACCACAAATAGATCCAACTTCAAAACTGGCAAGTCTCAAAATGACGAAAGAGATACAAAAATTTTCCATTACAGAGAAAATAGTATAACCCCGTCCATGAAATAAAAAAGTTACAAGTATACCCCCAAATAACGAACTATGGAACCTAAAATACAACAAAGCTCATTAATTTTTTTTTTTTTTTTTTATTAATTCGGGATGGCACGAACCTGTAGGGCCCCTCAACAACCCGACTAATCCAGAGACCCAGAAGATCAATATGTCAATCTTTCATTACCTTTGGTGATCACATCTTGGAAGGTTACAGGTATACCCCGAAATAACGAACTACGTAGCCTAAAATACAACAAAGCTCATTAATTTTTTTTTTTTTGGATTAACTCAGGTGTCCGGGATGGCACGAACCCTTAGAGCTCCTCAACAACCCGACTAATCCCGGAGGACCCGGAAGATCAATATGTCAATCTTCCATTACCTTCGGTGATCACATCTTGAAAGGTTCCCCGCCACTCATATGGTCCAACAACATCAAGGAAGTACGGACCAGATGTATCCAACATTTTCTGAATTGCAGTCCTAACATCTCCCTTCTTCATCACCCGGGCAGTAGGTATATCACAAGATTCTGCCCAGAACACCGGATCCTCCCATGGGAGAACCATACCCAAACGTTGATTACTCAGCATCATCATTTTTACCGGAAGACCCTCCTTCTTGATTGTGGCCAACTCCTGGACATTCGCCATGAAACTTCTCTCATCATCAATGACCACGACAGCAGCATCAGGTCTTGCAACAGCAGCTCCCATTGCAGCAGGCAATGCAAAATTCAGAGCCCCCAATCCACCCGATGTCAGACACTGCCGAGGCCTATTGTACTTGTAGAATTGCGCAGTCCACATTTGATGCTGGCCAACACCACCAGTACATATAATGGCATTCCCCCTGGTCAACTCATCAACAACCTGAATTGCATATTGGGGAGGTATAGCTACTTCAAAAGACTTAAAACTCAATGGGTTTTTAATTTTCTGCACCTTTAGGTCCTGCCTCCAAGCTGAAAAATAAAACTTACCCCCTTCCGCTACTTTCCTCTCTAATATTCTATTCAGACCTTCCAATGCCAACTTCAAATCTGCGCAAACCGGCACATTGGCTTGCTTATTCTTCCCTATCTCAGCTATATCTATATCTATATGAACAATTTTAGCCCGGCTAGCAAAAGTTTCAAGCTTTCTGGTCACACTGTCATCAAACCTTACCCCAAATGCAAGCAACAAATCACTTCTCTCCACAGCATAATTAGCATAAACAGTACCATGGGTTCCCAGCATTTGCAGGGAAAGCTCATCCGAACACGGATAAACCCCGAGACCCATCAAAGAACTTGCCACCGGAATCTTTGTAAGCTCCACAAACCGCCTCAACTCCTCGCTCGAATTCAAACACCCACCACCCACATACAAAACAGGCCTCTCAGACTCCGAAATCAACCTAACAATCTGTTCCAATTGCTCCACATCTGGTGGTTCGGGCAATTTAGACATGTAATCTGGTAATTTAATAGGTTGATCCCAATTTGGAACAACCAACTGTTGCTGTATTTCTTGCGGAATATCAATTAACACGGGACCAGGTCGGCCCGAAGATGCAAGAAAGAAAGCTTCATCCACAATTCTAGGAATGTCTTCTACATCTAAAACAATATATTTATGCTTAGTGAACGAGCGAGTTACCTCAACAATTGGGGTTTCTTGAAATCCGTCAGTGCCGATCATTCCTCTAGGGACCTGTCCGGTAATAGCTACGATTGGGATGCTATCGTGCATCGCGTTGGCCAGTTCGCTAATCAAATTGGTGGCGTTGGGGCCCAAAGCGATGCAGACGCCCGGGAGGCTGGAGGCGCGTGCGTAGCCCTCTGCGGCAAAGACCCCGCGCTGTTCGTTCTGGAAAAGGATGTTTCGGATGGTGGCTGACCGTGTTAGGGCTTGGTGGATCTCCATTGACGCGCCGCCTTGGTAGGCAAAGACGCTGGTGACGCCTTTGCGCTCGAGGGCTTCAATGAGGACGTCGGATCCCTTTCTGCGTTCGTTGGCAGCGAATCGGGATTTGGATGTTTCGGAGTGGACATTTGAGATGCGGAGATTACCGCGCGGTGTGTGTTTTTGGGAGCCATATGAGATTGATGGTAGGAGGGTAAATCGTTTTGAGGGGCAGAGAGGAAAGAACTTGGAGATGGAAGGCGCAACAATGGCGGCCATTTTCAACTAGCTGAGAGAGAAAAGAGGCTTGTATTTCTAGTGTTCTGGCAAACAAAAGAGGTATAGAGATTTTGCCATCAACGGTAGTAGCTCGGACTGATTCTAGGAAAAGTCGGCTATCTGATTGTGCTCTGACATTCTCCTCTAGTGCTCTAAATTTAGCAAAATTACTAATGTGCCCTCTCACCTACAAAACAGTCTCTCGAAATCAGTTATCAAATAGTACAATCATCCAACATTAAAATGTAATGAATGTCTCTTGACGGGAGTCACACCAAATTTTGGCATTGGTCTCTATGGTAGCTGTTGTGATATCTAACTATCTACTTCGTCCTCTCCTTCCAATTCAATTGGATTGAGATATTGTTCATCATTTTGAATATTGTTTGCCATCTGATTAATTTTAAGTAAATTTCAGAATTTAGTTCATTTATAAAGCATGCAGAAAAAGAAATACAATATAAAGCATGCCCAATATTGATCTCCTTTTGATTTTTTCAACAAAATTCATTAAAAATCTTAAAATAAAATCAAATTTATCCATTCAAGCACTCTTCATTCTGTTTTGGAAAATAGGTTGATGTAGGAGAATTTTTGTTAGTTTTCAAAACTAAATCTATGTAAAGAATAATAAATTAGAGAAAAGAAAATATTGAGCAGCATACCATAACACACACACACACACAGACTGACACACATATACTTTCATCACTTTTTGTACTTCAGTTTTTGAAAGAAATATACATACATATAATATTCAGTATTTTAATGATTCCGTGTCTAAAGAAACTTTCTTACTCACTCCGCGGAAAACCAAAAACTGAATCAGAAAAAATTATTAGAATGGTGTTCAGGAAAAACAATAAGCATGGGTTACATGAAGGATTGAGTTGAGGATTTGGGTAATTACTGGTAACAATCAGAAAAATCAGGAAGTAGAAAAAAAAAAAAAGGAATTGAATATTTGACGAAAAAGTTTTATAAATTTTTGTGTAAGGGCTATGACTTGAGGGTTTAGTAACATGCAACTGAAAGTGTTCGTAGTAGATTGTACTGAGATTTTAAGGAAAAAATAATTATGAAACCCTTACTCTTATGAGAAAATTCAATACAATAGGCTTAAAAATATGATATCATATTTAGAGCTTTCCATATTGGGGAAAATTTACCTAATTACATTATTGATCAGAACCCACAAGGATCACTGGTGTCCCTGTAAAAGTCCAATAATAAGAGAGAGAGAGGAGACAGAAGTGGTAGGGTTTTTAAAAATAACGCCTGTATAACTGTTTACTCAGCTACAGTAATCTGTTATGGGTTTGAAATGCTACAGTGTCAGAAACAACTAATATCACCAGTCTGGTGATATGGATTAGGCCCATTGTTTTGGACTTCACACTGTTTCAAACCACATCAACTCCTCCAAACGTGATATGGGCCACTTTAGAAAAAACAAAACACCCAAAACAATATCATATCACGAACCAAACAGGGCCTAACCCAACTTAAGATAGTGTGTTGTATGGCTATTGCACATGCCAAATTTGCACTAATTGTAACATTTTTAAAAAAATGAGGGTATTTATGTCAATGTGCCTCTTATCTCATGCTTGCCACTTTCGTTCATCTTAATCCTTCTTTCTCATGGATATAGAATCTTATTAAATCTACTGTCTCTTACATTTATAATAATCTTCACAACAAAAATATTTTTTTAAGAAAAATTAAATAATCTCATTTATAGAAACACAATAAATCATGAAAAATACTCAGTGTGTAATAATATTAATGCAAGCGGCCTCTAGAAACTAAACTCAATTGTTGGTTTTTTATTCGCTCTTAAAAAAAAAAAATAAAATAAAAAAAAAAAAATTTAAAACTCTTTAAACTCTTTAGAATTAAATTTTTTTTTTTTAATTTTTTTTAAAATATAAGAATCTGCTTGGTTGAGGAAATCTCTTTGGTTGGAAAAACTACAGTTTTTCAAACATCCAAAAAAATTAAAATTTTTAAGTGTATTTAAGTTAAGTTATACATAATCATAACATAATCAACCAAGGGGTCAGTGATACCAAGCCCTGGCCTTTCAAAAAAAATTAAGAGATTCAAACTTTAATGAAGACATATATAAATGTGTGAGTACTAATTAAAAAAAAAAAAAATTATACATAACCAAAACAAATAGTCAAGGATACATAAATTTAGTTTCATGTAGTCATTATGTTATGAAGCATAATGTATGATGCCCACGTTGATCCTGCAATCTGCTATCTGCTATCTTTAAGCAACCCTTTCTATCACACATTAATTAAATAAGTTATTCATTTACTCCTCCACTAGTCTTAGCATTCTCCTTGCCAACAACATGAACCTAATATTTGCCTCCAAAATAGACAAGGCATAAGCTTTGAATACACAGTTATTTCCCTCTCCCCTAAACGATCATTTTATTAAAACTCAACGAACAGGCTATAGCTTCTAAACAAAATCAAAAAGAAGTTAAGAATTGTGGATTATGTTCCTATACTAATTAGGTTTCTGTCTTAAATTGTAATTTATTAGATAATTTTTTATTAGGCAAGTTTTGGGATCTAAGCAATTGTAATTTTTTTTTTTTCCAATAAGGAATTGAGTTTTGTACTCTATAAATAGAAAATTATGTTATGGTGAGAGTAGTGAGATTGAGAGAAATGTAGTCTCGCGAAGGGGTTGATGGTAGAGGTACATACGTGTTTGGTAGAGTGTACTTTGATAGTGCTAGGGAGTGTCATGGAGCATATGGAGAGAACTTTGGAACAAGAGTTTGTGTACATGGATTAGTGTTAAAAATTCTTTACTAGTGTAACATCTCTATATAATCATAGTGAATCTATTCCCATTCGTGAACGTAACCCGATTTTGGGTGAATCATGTAAATTTTGTCTTTATCTTTTGTGTATGTATATATATATATATATATATATATATCGTTTTATCTTGATGTTCCTATGCTTCCGCTACCCTCAGCAAGTGGTAAAAGAGCCAATGGTGATGTTCAACCTTAATTTGAAGATGATCTAGAAAACACGAGGAACATCAACGGGCTTCTGCAATGTGTTTCAATTGCAGGTACATTTAATCAATATGCTTATTTGATCATGATAATTAGAAAATTGTGATAGGTTACATGGCATGGAGGTCGAGCATTCAAAAAGGGGAGCCTCTAAATTTAACCTAATTAACTGTACTTGCAATTGATAAAACTGATCAACTAATGTTTATTAAGAATTCAGAGTTTTGCAGATGGATCGTTAAGATTGAAAATGCAAATGAGTTGTTCGATCAATGCCGTGAGAAGTGATGATTGACCGGATGAAATTTGAGCTAAAGAGGAGACCGTTAAGAATTGTGGCTCATGTTCCTATTCCAATTAGGTTTCTATCTTAGAGTTGTATTTTACTTGGTAATTTCTTGTTAGGAGTCTTGAGCTCTAAGGCTCTAAGGCTCTAAGGGTTTGTTTGACTATGAAAAATGCCAATTTTTTTTTTTTTTTTCCTTACAATACTAAGGTTAAGGGTCGTTAAACATTGTTTGGCTGACATAAACAGTGTCAAAATGACTTTTTGGGCAAAAAAAGCACAAAAAAGAGTACAAATTCAAATATTGTTCTTCTGCACAATATTGATATTATAGCCGTTAAACCAAACAATGTCTTAACGACTATATTGGTCCAAAAAATTAATTTTTTAATTTTTTTTAATTTCTTTAATTCATAATGGATATTGTATTGTTTAATTTATTTTTTAATATAGTCATTTTATATATAGTTGTTGAAAAAATAAAAAAATTTCAAAAATTTTAAAAAATATATTATTATTTTTGGATAAAGAAAACACACCATTGGAATACATGCGCTAGCTAAAATTTGGAGAGTCTAAAACACTGACTTTCGAAAATTGGATTAGAATTGCTTTACACAACAAATGAAAAACTAATCCATGCTCACCATTTTCCCTTCCCCAAATCTCCGGCCACAATCCCCTTTGACTAGGCTTATCGCTTTTCGTAACTTAAACCCCCAACAATTCAAATCCAAATTCCATTTCCCATACTTGAGTTTCCATATATACTTATATATTTATCGATAATGTACTTATATATATATATATATATATATATATATATATATATATATATATTCAAATCCAAATGTCACAAAATCATGATTGTTTTTGGTTAAAATGATTCAATAATAAATTAGAGAAAGATGAAGAGGAAAAGAGAGAGAGTGAGAATTGAAAGAGAGGAAGGAGCAAAAGATTAAGAGATAAAGAAACAAACCCGAGAGATTCGATTTTTTTCACGTGAAAAGACGGTAATGGTAGAGAGATAGGAGATTTAAGTGTTGACAAATGAGGGTATAAAAGTCCAAAATATTAAGGGTGCGATGGTAATATAAAGGGATAGTTACACTGACCTCCCCTGAGGTTTCGTCATCATACATTGACCTCTCTTCTTGTTCGTTAAATAACACTGACCTTCCATGTCAGAGCTTTTGGGCAGATGGCTTTAACTGTTATATTGAAATCAAATTTTTGCCTTTATTATATCTATACTGTATTTTATTACAAACTCAATGGAGTTTGAAAAGACAAAAAGGCCTAAAATTTATCCTTCAACCTACATAAACACAAGCCACTGAATGTAACAAACAGCACAAGCAATCAAACAATTCAAGTTATTGTTCTCAATCAGCGCATCGACAAGGATTTGGGCGGGCTCTCTACTGCGGCTTCATATATATATATTTCCACATATCTACTAAGATATCTGCTTCACATGGGCTCTGTTCTCTTCAAACTCTCTCTCGGTTGGGTATCTTAGTGAACAAGTGCTCTTTCTCTCTCTCTTTTATATGTATATATTGTTGGGAAAATATAAGTTTTAAAACTTTTGAGGGATTTTCATACATGTATCTTGATTCATCACATTGAGACAAGTTTTATACAAAAAAAATAAGATGATGAATCGTTCAATTATTAGATTGAAAACTTATATCAAATGTTTGAGTAAACCTTTAAATCTTTCTTCCAAAGTGAATGTTTTCACTTATTGTAGATCCTTTAGCAAGATCATTTTTCCCACGATTTTCTTCTTCTTGCTAGTGATCTTCCCTTTAGGAATCACCCATAAACTTGGATGAATGACCTTGGAGGCAAGGCTTGTGGTAGCCTTCTTTAGATGAGAAAGCAAACTCTAAAGAAAACTAGAGAAAGAAAATATATTTTTCTGTCTTTAAAGGTGTAACCTAAAATATACATGGACCTATGTATATATAGGCAAAATAAAAATAAACATTAAAGACAATATATTTTTCTCAATATCTAATTCACGTGATAACTCAAATCTAATGGGCTTCCAATATCAACTTGGGCTATGGGTGAGAATCCATTGGGCTTACAATTTTCTTGGCTACTATAAATTAATAATTGGCCTGGTCCATTAAATCATAGACCCAATTTAATTAATTCTTAAATTAATTTCTACTCCACTAAAAGAAATTAATTGCACTCCAATTAAATAGTAAATAACTTTTAAGTCAAAGTTGCACTTTGACCCCTTTATGTATAATTATTTATCGGATTATAAAGTCATCAATCCAACAACATAATTAATATAACTATTTTGTTACCTTTGTTTATTTCTGACTTGATCACAATAAAATAAAATAAAATAAAAAAATAAAAAATAAAAAATAAAATAAAATAAAAATTGTTTGACAAAAAATAATAATTTAATAAATAAATATATAGAAAATATTTTGTCTAAATCATACGAAGACCTTTGAATTTAATTTGTGATCAACCATAATTAATACAAAATAAATATAAGTAGCACTGATGCAATTATTGAGAATATAACCCTTTAACTATTAATTACATAACTACCCAAAGTGTCGATCTTTGGATCCCGAAGTATCCCCCGAATAAATCAAAGTAATTATTAATTAATAAAAGAATATATATTTCTCTCATGCTTGAGAGTCAAAAGTCATGACAGTGATAGAGAACAATTGCATACGATGGCTCTCGCAATATATCTCAACCTATCGTGAACTCGGTTCAAGTCTTAGTTAACTAAATATATCTTGTAATCAAGTGAACATATTCAATTCCATAATGAATCAAAAAAACAATACATTTCATTCACTAATTGTATAATGCCTAAATAATAATATTCAGATAAGGAACCATGATTTTTACAGTCCAAACAAGAATTTGCTATGTTAGGGCACACAAATCCCAACATATATGTGTGTGTGTGTGTGTGTGTGTGTGTGTAGTTCTGTATTTTAATCATTGAAGTACAGTTCAATCAAAGCTCACTAGAATCAATGGAGTTCTAATTATGTTGGGTGCTTGCCGAAATCAATAGAAACTGGTGCCGACGACAGTGGTATTGGAGGACCCAATTGTGAAGAGTTGGTTATTGGGTATGCTGATGACGACTGCGACGAAGGGAATGGGTCGAGAACATTCGACGCCGCACATGGCATCGAGATCTTAATCTGGGTGTGGAGATTGGTGACGACGAGAGCACTGTAGATGGACTCGATTACCGTCATAAGTAGGGAGCGGAAGAGGGGTACGGTGGTCAAAATTTCGTCGCCGACAGCGACGATGAGCGTCTGTGGGTAGTACGCGGCGACGTTTCATTCGATCCAGGCCTGAGCTTTAAGAATGTATGCGTCGGCATCGTAGAGATAAATGGTGATGGTTTGGGTTTGAAGTTCATATACCCAAGCTCGATGAAGTGTATAGAACCACCGGTGAAGCTTACACAGTCTGGCGAGCCCCCTAGAAACAGCGAACCAGTTTGATTAACTTGGCCTTGAAGAAAAAAGAGGTGGTATTTAAGTAATTTCACATAATTTAGTTAGGATAATAATTTATTTACATGTCTTTCAAGGGTAAAATGGAAATTTGAGAATAAAAAATTGCTGACATTATCATTTTTCGTCAATAACGGTGTTTTCCATTGACGAAGGGGAGGTGCTTGTTATCAATATACAAATCTCGAGGGAGGTACGTGTAATTTGACAAATAAGAAGGGAGGTCAGTGTATGTCGACGAAACTTAAAAGGAGGTCGGGTGTAATTATCCCTAATTTAAAGGGTTAGTAAGGTTTGACTTGTTATTTTAGTCTAAAGTTTCGTTTGTTTCAATGTAAAATATTCTCTTTGAAAAATATTTTTCTTTTTCAGGTAAAATATTCTTTTATTTTTACTTTGTCGGTGTTTAGTAAAGGTCTACGTCGAGGTTGAGGTCGAGTCAATCTGGCGGGACATGTAAAATAACTTACCAAAAATTTATGAATAAATTATTTTTGTTAAATTTTAATATTTTTTTTCTTCGTAAATATTTTACTACAACCAAACACTAAAAAATAAAAAAATATTTTCTGAAAAATATTTTATGTCCAAACAAATAGAGCCTAAGTAAGGGTAGTTTTGACGTTTCATGGAGCTTGACCAAATATATATATATATATATATATATATATATATATATAATTTTTGAAAAAATGGATTGTGTTTTTTTTGTCCTTCACCTAACGAGGAACCATTTTGACCTTAAACCAAGAGTCAAACTTGATATTTAAAGGTAGAAATTCTGGGATATTGGAGCAATCTTGACAGATTCCTTTTACCAATCTTCAAAGTAATGGTGCATAAAGGCTTAAGAATACTTCTCTAAGATAAGAGGAGAAGCAAGGACACTGATAAAGGATGTCGTTGGTAATGGGAGAAAAAGTTCTTTACTGAATCAGTTTGAATTTGAAATAGAAATAAATTGAGGTAAATTTTTTTTTTTTTTTTTTTTTAATTTTAAATTCAGATTAAACCAGAGAGTTAATTTCAGGCAGTGTCATCAGATTTAGGCATTAGTATCCCCATCAACGCCTTCTTTAACTCCTCATTCACATATCCTTTCGTCGCCTCACCAGCAAACTAATATCTCTTATCGCCGTTGCCCCTCCGATCAACTTTACCACCAAAACTTTTGACCTTGTTCTCTGTACTTGCCAAAATCAACCCCTCCGGCCAATTTTCCACCAATAATTTCAGACCTTAGATCATCAACAACAAATTTTTGCCTACCAAATCGAGTCCGCCAAAATCTAAAAAATTCAGATCATGCCAAATTGGGGGTTTGATGAATTATAATGAATTCAAGTTGGTAGTAATGGAAATTCTATAAATTAACCATAGATTCCATGGTGAAAAATTAAAAGTAAAGATTTCAAATTTCTTTCCCATTTTCTCTTTAACTTTACCTTTCCTTCAGTTTCTGAGCAACCAAACAGAAGCAAAATTTCTTGACTAGCATTTTTTTGATGGGTTGTACTAAATGACATTTTTTTCACTTAAATTTTTATTGCATTTTAAGCGTCCAAAATATAGAAAGAGCCTCTGTCATTTATGAATAACTGGGTGTGTATCACTTTCCAAGCCGAATAATATGTCAGCAATAACCGCTCAGCCATCGAGAGTGGGAGCCATTCAAATTCTTGGGTGTATATATATATCACAATTTATTAGTAATTAAAAGAGTGTACAAGCCCAACAAAGCACAAATGGAAACAAACCCCAAACAAATTTCTAAACAAGTACAAAGGGACGAACAAACCAACAAACCAGCAAACCACTTATTTGAAAAACTGAAGCAAGTACAGAATACAAAATCCAAGCTCTGACTAGCTATATGCTCATATATAATAATTTTAGAAGTGTTTTTTATTTTTAGAAAACGCTACTACAAAGCAAACAGCATTCAAATTAAAAGTTGGAAATTTCTGATCTGCATCATCATCTTCACTTTTTCTTTTTTTCAGTTGCTAATATCAAAAGATGAAGTGGATAGCGGAGGATGTATCGAGAGACACGATGTGTCAAGGAATTGGGGAAGGAAAGTGGAAGAAATACTATCCAAAGACAGAGGAGGGAGACTGAACCTATGATTAGCACAACAGTGGCGAGCCAAGTTACGTCACTCACTACCAGAGAAATGGCTGCCATGAATGCCAAGGAGACCATTGAAAGAGAGATTCCCAACAATGGAATTGCCAATTTGATGGAACAAAGGCTCAAATGTAGATCATGCAGCATTGCCCAAATGAGAAGAATGGCTACGATAATGGAAGTATACATAGCAATGGTGTTGCTTAACACGAAAATATGAAACATACGCTTTTTAACCAGCGTTGCCATGCCTTTGTATGGATGATCATCCGAACTGTTGTACCTACCTGGCATGGTAAAACCAGCCGCAAAGGTCACGGTGGCTATTAGTGTCGCCACCAACAAAAGAGTGTTGACCCTCTCACTGTAATAGAAATTTTCTCCAACTTCACTAGTGTTCCGCTGATGTGTTTGTGTCGCACCAGCATATCTCAGGGCTAGCCATGTCAACCGCTGCAAAGTATCATGATGTAACATTTAGTGATGAAAGAGGAATTCAAATATATATGTAGCAAGAATTTGACTTCCTACAAAGCTACAACACATACCTTTTGAAATGTGGGTGTCCAATATCCATGCTTGGCTGCAACATCTAGAGCAGTTAAGCCTTTATCATTTCTGATCTCCAAGTTAACTCTCTTGTCCCACGTCAGGATATGCACAACCCGAGCTTGCTCCCCTTTGCTGGCCAAATGCAATGGAGTGTTTCCCTTTTCCATATCTATTTGATTGATGAGCACTGCAAGCTCGGGCTTCTTAAGCACATAAGAGACTACATCGACTCTCCCATTCATGGCAGCCACGTGAAGAATATTCTGACCGTTATAGTCCAGCAACTCCTTCGAATCAGGCCGAAGTTTGAGAAACTCTTGTATAATATTGACATGGCCTCTCTTGGATGCCCAGTGAATGGGAAATGAGCCATCTTCGTCCCGGTCTCTTCTGTATGTAGCAGCTTCATAACCACTTCTGCCCAAGAAGTAGCAAACGCCTTCAATGTAACCTATTGATGATGCATAAGATAGAGGAGACCTCCCTTTTTCATCGTATACACAAAAGTATGTTGATTGTCGCTCCAACAAAGCCTTTAGGACATCTGGTACTTTAATAGGTAAAGATAAGTTAAGTAATGCCCCGGGGAGATTTACACCGTGGTGCCTCCCGCTAATGGAGAATCATAGAAATAGTCATTTTGTCTTGATACAAGATAAACGAGAAATGAGGAGTTTTCAATGAAGGTATGACTGTCTGGCCAATGGACAGTCTAGAAACAATCATTTTGTCTTAATACATGAGAAATAAGGAGTTTTCAATGAAAATATATATGACTGTCCATTGGTTGGAGATACTACGTGATAAGTATGTCTGTGTATTATAGACTTTCTCGTAGCTAGAGAAGGAAATTAAAGAATAATAATAATAATAATAGTGGCTACCAATACATACCCAAGTTTCTTGCTTTGATGGCAGCGTGCACAACTGACTCGCCTTCCACAGTTTGTATGTCAACTGATCCATTTTGCATCATAGCCTTAACAAGCTCCAGTTGCCCTGCTTCGGCAGCCATAAACAGGGGGGACATTTTTTTGCCATTTGGAAGTGTGGACGCTTGTGGGCTCTCCTTAACTAAGACCATAGCCGAATCGTAGTGATGATATTTCATGGCCGCATGTAATGCAGTATTCTTCTCCGAATTTCCATCCACGAGGGCCTCAGGACGAAAAATTCGGAGCTGTTTGGCTTGACGAAGCAGAGAGTTGACTGTAGATAGATTCCCGGAAGCTGCAGCCAAATGAAGGGGAATGTCGCCTGTCGAATTTGTAGCCCTGAACAGCTCTGGATAGTCCACGAGGATGGGTTCCACAAGGTGGTGATGGCCTAAACTAGCGGCTAGGTGAAGAACCGTGTTCCCTTGGGGGCTCAGTTGCTGCTGAATGGAAGAAATGTTTGATTGTACTAATAGTAACCCATAATTGGGATCCCCAATTGTTAGTGCTCTGTACAATTGAGGATCCATGGTGCCGCTCGGTATTTCGTCTGCTTGTGCCACCATGTTGATACCTATTATTGTGTCTTCTCCAGATGTCGTTGCGTTCATTTCCATATCAACCATCGCACTCTATAGCTGCAAAGTCATAGGGAAGAGGGAAGGAATACTACTAGTACTTGGAATTATTGATACAAATGGATTATAAAAAATGCAAAAGATTTTCCTTCTACTTTTTCCAACATTGAGTTTTGCAAACTATTTTCTAGTGGCAGAGGGGAGACAAGGACAGTGCGTTAGAGTAATAAAAATGTGGAGAAGAGAAACAAGCTAGGAGGGCGAGTGTGTTATTGAAAGTTTAACTATATTTATTGTAAAACTGTACAGCCCCACAAATGAGGAAGAAATGTGATAAAGCAACTTCGATGAAAGTCAAGCCATTGGAAAAAGTAATGTGAACGAGGAAACCACCAGCTGATAAGATTCCTGGACGAAGCTTGGGGAAAACACATGGCCCAGGATCGCCAATTGCATGTATATATCCACAGAAAAACATCTTCGAGGAAGCTTGCAAGGGAAATTATTTGTACATGGTCCAGGACCGTGACATCATACCTGCCAGTTACGCGTGTTTTTTGTTTTTTGTTTTGAAAGGTCTGCCAATTATACGGTTTTGCAATAAATATTTGGGTAAAGTATAAATAAATAAATAAAATTCCTAGCCATACAAAAATATCGTGACAAAAAATAATAATAATAATTTCGCATATAAATTCCTATATTTTAAAATTGGGCAAAGTGTAATAAATCCCATTTAACTTTTTCGGTTTTGCAATAAATTCCCCTTGTTTAATGTTTTTGCTATAAAAAAAAACTCCATAACATAGTGGATGGGAGTGGATTAAAAATAATTTTGAGACAAAAATGCCCCTATTCCTATTATATAGGAAAAATTGCACAAAACTCCCCTCTACTTTTATTTGTTTTGCAAAAAACCTCCTTGAACAAAAAAGTTCATATAAAACCCCTTAACTTTCTAATTTGTTGCAAAGTGATGTTATAATGACTAATTTGACCCTTAATATAAATTTAATAAAATGGTGCTCCTTAATATTAAATTAAAATTAATACAAACTCATTTTGCATAGGGTTGTTATAAAAAAATTGATTTTTTTGAAATTGTTAGTTTATAAGAAAATAAAAATACCTTGAAATAATTTTCAAAATTTTCTTAATTTTTTCCCCAAAAATAAAAAAGAAAATACAACAACATTGTACTCGAGACTACAGAGAAGATTAAATTGATCAGACAGAGGTTGAGTTTGCATACAACAACAGTTATCAAGCGAGCATTAAAATGGCTCCATTTGAGGCGTTGTATGGCAGACCTTGTAGATCTCCAGTTTGTTGGACTGAGATAGGCAAGACAGCTGCCTTAGGACCCGACATTGTACTCGAGACTACAGAGAAGATTAAATTGATCAGACAGAGGTTGCTCACAACTCAGAGTCGACAAAAGAGCTATGCAGATAAGTGGAGACGACCGCTATCTTTTGAAGTATGAGACCATGTTTTTCTAAGGGTTTCTCCACGGAAAGGATTGATGAGGTTCGGGAAAAGTGGCAAGTTGTCACCACGATTCATTGGACCGTTTAAGATTCTGGACCATGTAGGAGAAGTGGCCTACAGACTTGCTTTACCACCACAGATGGACAAGGTTCACAATGTTTTTCATGTGTCGATGTTACGAAAGTGCGAACCAGATCCATCTCATGTTTTGGATTGGGTTGACGTGGACGTTGATAAAGATGTTTCCTATGAAGAGGGACCAATGCAGATCCTTGACACACGACAGAAGGTGTTAAGGGGCAAGATGGTGCAGTTGGTGAAAGTTCTTTGGCGACACCACGGAGTCGAGGAGGTTACTTGGGAGCTTGAACAGCTGGTTCACTCCAAGTGCCCAGAGTTGTTTTCTTCCCTAGGCATGGCTTGATTTCGGAGACAAAATCCTTATAAGTTGGGGAGATTGTGATGTTTCCAAATTTCAGCATTTCTTAATTTTTCTGGAATTTCATTGATGCAAGGGCATTTTGGTCATTTCGTGTGATACCCTCTGGATCCGAGACATGGGTTGATCAGGCTCAGGCCCAAACCTGAGGGAATATCAAATAATTAAAGTATTTTAAAGCGAACAAATATGATAAAATGAAATAATAAAGATGGAATAAAATTGAAAGAAACATCAATTATAAAACCCTCCATGTAAAACTGAATAATAAAACTCCAATCCTCCAAAACTTTAAGGTTACAACTTGGGAATCCATTGGTGGATCCATAACCAAAAGTTCAACTGAAACTGAAATTGGAAAATAGATAATGCTAGAAACATCGAGAGAAATCCTGCGTAATCAGATGAATGTGAGACTGCCCTCAACAAGCACGATCAAGCTCTAAGGCTGGAACCATCCTGTACCTGAAAAGAATAATAAAGGAGTGGGTCAGACCCACGAGTAAGTTCTAATCTAACTGCAATCCATACAGTGACTCGATACACAGATACACCGTAGATACCTCACAATATCTATCTAGTCCATACATATAAATATATCCACACTAAGGGACATTCATTGGTCTATAACAGGGGTCTCAACCTGAATAGAAGGTAACATGCGAATACGCATCCAAAGGTGGGCATGAGTACCTAGACCTAACAGGGTACACATCAACCTATTATAACTAGCTATGCATCCACCGCATATACGCACCCTAACCAGCGAGTTTGAGACTCAAACTCAGCTCGTGGTACCATAAACATATTTATAAAGTCCGTCCAAATTCAGGATATGTAGTTCAAATATTTAATAAACTGACATATAACAAACCAATGTGTTAGTCACTCAACTTATTCAGTTGATGTGACTTAACTACCGTCCATTAATCCAGGAAGCCACTCAACTTAGTTGCAGTTGATATGTCTTAACCAAAATTAGGATTCAATATTTATAAATCCATTCCTTTAATCCGTTAGGTTAGGTTTAGGCGTTTTGAGCTAAACCGTTCCTAGTATGTCACCGTCCCATACCGGTATATACCATCCTCCATATCCAGGTAAATTACAATGTATACATAATGAACAAGTAATCTACAGTCCAAAACCATTATCCAAATAATTGCAGAAAAGTATATAAGGTTTCAGCAATTTAAATCCAAGAATTAAACCATGTAATTGCAGGAAACTGTTTAATAATTTACACAACTAGCATCCAAAGCATGCATAGACCCAATCCAATATATCAATGACTCTATCATGCATTTAAAACAAATTCTATAATCCTATTATAGTCCAATAAATTGCTAAAATTAACCTAAACAATTTATTTCGTCCCATCCGATAACAGTGTACTAAGTCATATGCTTTTATACTGTTTCATCCTTTATCTTAGAGACTTAAACCATGCGATAACTAGTTTAATCACACTTAGAATCAAGTATTTAGATCCTCTGTAAAGTCCCCACAATCCATTAGAAACATCCAAAGGCTCAAACAGTGTCCAGAATACCAAACAGTGCCTAAGAAAACTAAAATAAAATAAAATTAATCGTATATTGAAGAGGGAGCCTGCTCCAAATTTTGGGAGCAGGCTCTTTCAGCCTAGAGCCGGCTCTAGGAGTCCTTAAAGCCGGCTCTACTTGTTGTGAGAGTCGGCTCCCACATCCATGGAGCCGGCTCTCACCTCCTTTGAGAGCCTCTATCCCCGTTGCTTCGTTTCAGTCCGTCTGCTCCCTCTCTGATCAATTTCTACCACTCTGTTGGTTTCTAAAACTAATCTTAGGAGTCTTAATTGAGTCTAGAAGCATCCCCAAGGTTGCTTACAATAAATTTGAAAACAATTACAGAGTTTAAACAAAACCCTTTAAACTAGCATTGTTGAAGAACAACACTGAAACTAAATTACAACATCAGTTCTATCCCAACCCCTCTGTTCTCCCTCTAATTTATATTTAAAGGTCTTAAATTACATTTAGTATCCATTCAGACCTTGGTTGATTCCAGTAAGATTCAAAATAAAAATTAGAACAGTGGGACGTTATGCCAAAACAAAGAATCGAACACATACATGACAAAATGGTTTTACAGATAATTTTTCACAATTAAAAGACCCTCAAGTAAACATATACAAATCATGCATGGTTCAATTAATAGCCAATTAATCCCCTAGAGGTTATCTAGGTGCACATAACACAAGTCAGAGGGAAGGAGGAAGATAAGAACTTGCCTGTACAGTTTTGTAAACAAAACCTTGTCGCCGTTGTTCTAAGCTTTCCGACGACCACTGCAATATTGTCTAGCCTCCTATGACTTCTGTTCCTCCCTTCTCCTAAGCCAAATCTTGAAGCCTCGGTTGGAAACCTCACAAACTTGTTCTGCTCTCTCAAAGCCTCACTCTGTAACTCTCTGTATCTATGTTTCGTGAGTATGGTTTTTCCAACCCTTAATACAGATTATAACTATGTATATATAGGCGTAAAAATCCTAAACCCTAATCCTTGTTTAATTAAAGCCAGAACCGTAATGTAAAACTCTAGTCAGTCGGCCCATATAACAATCTAGGTTATAAGATACTCGGCTACATACGCGTAACCTCTTAGGGAACCCTACTGTTTAAAATTAGACCAGTTATTAATTTATTTTAACACAGTAACGAAAATACACATATAACTAAATACACAACCCAATTAAAGAAAAACAAGAAACAATTAACGAAATTAAAATTCATAATTAAACAAGTAAAACACTTAAACAATTAATTCCAATTAAATAATAAAAGATAACCCATGTCACATAGTTAAGCAATTAAATCAAATAATAAATAAAAATAATTAAGCCAAACAATCACCCAAAAATACAATCAAAATAATAAATAAATGCCGAGACTATCCTTTTAAAATTAGGGGTATTACATTTCGCATGTTGTGTTCGGGATTGTGGTTGGGTCCAATTGCAATTGGTGCATTTTAATTTATGGAATCATGTAGTATATGCTTGGTGGTGCATTCATATGTGTGAGGTGTATTTTCAAGCAAAAGAAAAAATGAAAAGAAAAGAAAATGAGTGGTGGGACCCATCACCATGCACAAGTGGTCTAGAGACCACATTTTCACTCTCATTTTTCTCTCTCCCCGTCACTTTCTCTCTTCTTCTCTCCTTCATTTTCTTTTTCACTTTAGTTTCAAATCTTTGAAGCAAGATTTCTCTCTCATCTCTTATCGGATTAAAGTGCCGTTTGAGGCAAAACGAAGAGCACGACGAGCTCTACGCACTAGTACCAGCAATTTCAGACTTTGAGCACCTTTTGGATTTCGAATTTGAGGACCCATTTTCAAGGGTTTTGCTCACTTTTGAGGTAGGGGCTTCCTAATCCGTATATTCTTGCTCCTTTGTGAGTTATTCTACTTGAAATGTGTTAAAGCATGTTTAATTGTGTTAATTGTTGTTTTAAAAAAGCTTTGATTGTATATGTGTGGGTATATGGAGACTTGTCTTGATTATGTTGTGTGAAAAACATGTTATATTATGAAATTTATGTCTATCATATTATTTACATGCTATGATTGATGTATGAGAACATGCCCTATTGTATTTTGTAATAATCTTTCATTGATTAAGCATCAAAGGCATGAGCTATACATGTAAATCATGGGGTTGCATGATGGAAAATGTTTTGAAATGAAAATGGGGAATTTTGGGGAAATGTTTTGATGAAATGGTTTTATGCAAACCCGGTCACTGCGGGGTTACCAATGGGCCGGAGGTTAATATAGCCTAGAGGGGACTAGGGAGTCGCCCTAGCGTGGTTGAGCTAGCTGGGCCTCATAATGATGCCGCGGGGTTACTAAGGGTCAGGGACATTTCGCATGTTGTGCTCTTTTTGTTCTTTTTTCCTCCGACGTAATCTATCCTAAGCTTTGGAAAGTTGTCTAGAACCTTCTCGCAGCTTAATTTTGACACAAGTATGATGTGTTGACCTTAGACATGATGTGGATTGACTTAGATGACCTCAGGTTCGGGTAATGACCCGGTTAACGGTTCGGACCCATGGATTCGGGTCGTTACAATATAGAATAGCATAATGAATATTTTTCAAATAAAAGGTTCACACTTTACAAATATGAGTGCAATAACATCATAACTAGTCTTACAAGAACAAAATGTACAAAAAAATGGATAATACCTATAGAATTTACCACTAGTATATCAACATCAATAAAATGTATACCCTGAGAAAGCCTAATCTTATATATCAGCTTAACAGTGCAAAGTGTTATAAATTTGTTGTGTGATGTTGACATTAAAAAGTCAATTCTTTACATTTCTTTCTCTGTCTCTTTGCTTTCCTGTGGTTCAGTACTGCTTCCTATATTCCTTCAGATACTTAGTTTGCTTTGTTTGATTTTCAATTTTATAATGGGATTAGATCAAAACATTTTATTCTGTTCAAATAAATTCATTGTTAAACCATTGGCAAACATTTAATGTCTGTACCAGGTCTGTCAAGATGGAAGAACAATTAATGGAGGAAGCATTTCTCAGGGTATACAAGTTTGACTACTACAATTTGGTTTTTGTTTCTTATCTAAATTTCTACTTCAATGCTAATTTCTCTGAAGCTGCACGTGTGTTCTTAATTTGGTAAATTTGCTTTAAGAAATGCAATTACAGACGTCAAATGCTGTAAAACCCATATGGGTATATGGGCAACTTAGTGCTAAAGAAGGTCAATATGATGGATTTGTTTCGCACGAGTTACTCTTCTGGGATACTTTATTTTCAGGTTTGCAGAACATCACTCAAATTTCATCCACTGTTCATGTAGATGGTAAAGGAAATGTGCATTCTGGAGCACCTCCTCCTTGGTTCAATGCAACTGAAGCAAATCCACTAAATGCTGGACTAAAACCAGGGTTAGGACTCAATGCTGTTGCCTCTCCTCACAGTAAACCTGGGAAGTCCCAGAAATTGAACCCGAAACGGGTGGGAGCTGCTTGGGCAGAGAAGAGAAAGATTGAACTGGAGATGGAAAGGAGAGGAGAGTGTATCACCAATAATTTTGATGCTAATTGGCTCCCTAATTTTGGTAGAGTTTGGCAATCAGGTAGCCGGAAGGAATCTAGAAAAGAATTTGAGGTGGAGGACAAAAAACCACTAAAGGTTGAAACTGAAAGTGAGACGCCAATCAAGATACAGCCTTACATCAGCAAACGAATAGTAAACCTCGAATCCCCATGTACCATGTTATAAAATTTTCATTTTTCTTTGTTATATTAAAATGGTTAGATTATGGCTTTTGATATCTTATCTCATTATACAATTGTGTGCGCCTGGATGGTGATGCGTTATTCACATGGATTCCTTCTTTTATCTCCCATGATTGATATAGAGCTTGCAATTTCTGGTCTATCCTTGTTATGACACAACGTGTGCATGCAAGCATTACAAGGAGTATCTTAAAAGAGTAGCATTAGTATCAGTTTAGAGTAGATTAGAATCAATTCGAGAAATTTTGTTTTGTGTTGTATTAAATGCAGTTATTATGTTTCTATAAATTTAAAGTACTGTATTAGTAATATTTGTTGTAGGACTTGGGAGAAAAGTATCATCATCTCCATTTTTTTTGTTTTTTTGGTGGTTGGGTTTCCCTGGCACATGCTCCTGCTTTTACTATTACAACCCGTTACCCACTATTTCATTTGGTCTCTCACAAATAAATGCTAACAAAATTCTGATAGATTGTTTAGCACCCGGGGTTGGAATATTCAATGGCACTTTAGTATTTAGTTGCATGATTTTGTGGAATGGACTAACTGAGGCTAACTGTTTCCTTTGGTTATTGCAGCGAAGAGATGACGGGGAATAGTGCTTTTTGCTTAGTATTTCATGAGAATTTCTACTAGCAGCCTTATAAGTATTTAGATCCCCGTGCTGCTCGAGTCTGTATATATTTTTCTGTGTTGACCTTCGATTTCGATTAGAGATCAAATGGATCCACAATTTTGTTAAAAGAGGCAGTTGATTGAAAACCAGCTTTGAAGTCGATTTGTAAATCTGTTCTCCAGAACATTGCGTATTTACACGCGGATGCACATTTGTGGGAAATATCAAATTTTGTTCATTGCCCTAGTGTTTTATGCTACTACCTACTGTCAATGTATTCAGCAGACTCCCACAAGTTGATGATGCATTAAAAGAACATCTCTAATCGAGTTTCGGAAGCTTTGACAGTGGAGGTGAGCTTGCATTTTTTCGAACATTGTGTTCTTTTTTTATTTAGGAAATGCCCTTGTATATTTGCTTAAGCTAACACTGAATCTTCCTGACTCCAAATTACTACTTACTGGAGAAGTGGTTTTAGTGTATGTTGTCTAATTCAATGAAATCCTAGGCTGGAACCAGTTTCAATATTTCGTGTGTATTTTTGTGATGTGTTTTATACTTTTTCAGCTTTCGTAGTGTTTAGGAAACTATTTTCTGTTCTTGACATGGGATGGACAAAATGATGTTTGTGATTTCCGCCCTTGATGTGATCATTTTATTGGTGTTGGAGTTGTAAAGAAACAGAATTGATATTATTATTATTAAAAGTTCAAATAAATGCACACACCCACAGTATCCCATTCCATAACAGTATTGGTATTATTGATTTTTATTTTTTTAATTTTTTTTTCAATGGTGCTGCTTAAAAAATTCACATCATGCCAAATTGGGGGTATGATGAATTATTAAATGAATTCAAGTTTAGTGAAAATTCTATAAATTCTCAGTTCATATCAAACCATAGATTCCATGGTGAAAAATTTAAAGAAAAGATTTGAAATTTCTTTCCCATTGTCTCTTTAACTTGACCTTTCCTTCAGTTTCTGAGAAACCAAACAGAAGCAAAATTTCTTGACTGGCATTTTTTTGTAGGGTTGTACTAAATGACATTTTTTTTTCACTTAAAATTTAATTGAATTTTAAGCGTTCAAAATATAGAAAGAGCCTCTGTCATTTATGAATATATATATATATTTAGAACTGGATGTCAGCAATAAACGCTCAGCCATAGAGAGTGGGAGCCATTCAAATTCTTGATCACAATTTTTTAGTAATTAAAAATTTATTAGAAGAATAAAAGAGTGTACAAGCCCAACAAAGCACAAATGGAAACAAAGCCCAAACAAAAGTCTAAAAAGTACGAAGGGACGAATAAAACCAGCAAACCACTCATTTGAAAAACTGAAGCAAGTACAGAATACAAAATCCAAGCTCTGACTAGCTACATGCTCATATATAATAATTTATTAGTTGGAGAAGGCCTTAGAGGTATTTTTTACTTTTAGAAAACACTACTACAAAGCGAACAGCATTCAAATTAAAAGTTGGAAATTTCTGATCTGCATCATCATCTTCACTTTTTCCTTTTTTCAGTTGCTAATATCAAAAGATAAAGTGGATAGCGGAGGATGTATAGAGAGACACGATGTGTCAAGGAATTGGGGAAGGAAAGTGGAAGAAATACCATCCAAAGACCGAGGAGGGAGAGTGAACCTATGATTAGCACAACAATGGCGAGCCAAGTTACGTCACTCACTACCAGAGAAATGGCTGCCATGAATGCCAAGGAGACCATTGAAAGAGAGATTCCCAGCAATGGAATCGACAATTTGACGGAACAAAGGCTCAAATGTAGATCATTCAGCATTGCCCAAACAAGAAGAACGGCTACGATAATGGAAGTATACATTGCAATGGTGTTGCTTAACACGAAAATATGAAACATACGCTTTTTGACCAGCGTTGCCATGCCTTTGTATGGATGATCATCCGAACTATTATACCCACCTGGCATGGTAAAACCGGCAGCAAAGGTCACGGTGGCTATTAGTGTCGCCACCAACAAAAGAGTGTTGACCCTGGCAGTGTAATAGAAATTTTGTATTCCTTGACTAGTGTTCCGCTTATGTGTTTGTGTCGCACCAGCATATCTAAGGGCTAACCATGTCAACCGCTGCAAAGTATCATCATGTAACAGTTAGTGATGAAAGAAAAATTCAGATATAGATGTAGCAAGAATTTGACTTCCTACAAGGCTACAACACATACCTTTTGAAATGTGGTTGTCCAATATCCATGCTTGGCTGCAACATCTAGAGCAGTTAAGCCTTTATCATTTCTGATCTCCAAGTTAACTCTCTTGTCCCACGTCAGGATATGCACAACCCGAGCTTGCTCCCCTTTGCTGGCCAAATGCAATGGAGTGTTTCCCTTTTTCATATCTATTTGATTGATGAGCACTGCAAGCTCGGGCTTCTTAAGCACATAAGAGACTACATCGACTCTCCCATTCATGGCAGCCACATGAAGAATATTCTGACCGTTATAGTCCAGCAACTCCTTCGAATCAGGCCGAAGTTTGAGAAACTCTTGTATAATATTGACATGGCCTATCTTGGATGCCCAATGGATGGGAAATGAGCCATCGTCGCCCCGGTCTCTTCTGTATGTAGCAGCTTCATAACCACTTCTGCCCAAGAAGTAGCAAACGCCTTCAAAGTAACCTATTGATGATGCATAGGACAGAGGAGACCTCCCATTTCCATCATATACACAAAAGTACGTTGATTGCCGCTCCAACAAAGCCTTTAGGACATCTGGTATTTTAATAGGTAAAGATAAGTTAAGTAATGCCCCGGCGAGATTTACACCGTGGTGCCTCCCGCTAATGGAGAATCATAGAAATAGTCATTTTGTCTTGATACAAGATAAACGAGAAATGAGGAGTTTTCAATGAAGGTATGACTATCTGGCCAATGGACAGTCTAGAAACAATCATTTTGTCTTAATACATGAGAAATAATTGGTTGGAGATACTACGTGATAAATACTCTGGGTATTGTAGACTTTCTCCTAACTAGAGAAGAAAATTAAATAATAATAATAATAGTGGCTACCAATACATACCCAAGTTTCTTGCTTTGATGGCAGCGTGCACAACTGACTGGCCTTCCACAGTTTGTATGTCAACTAATCCATTTTGCATCATTGCCTTAACAAGCTCCAGTTGCCCTGCTTCGGCAGCCATAAACAGGGAAGACATGTTTTCGCCATTTGGAAGCGTGGACGCTTGTGGGTTCTGCTTAACTAAGACCATAGCCGAATCGTAGTGATGATGTTTCATGGCCGCATGTAATGCAGTATTCTCCTCCGAATTTCCATACACGAGGGCCTAGGGACTAAAAATTCCGAGCTGTTTGGCTTGACGAAGCAGAGAGTTGAGTGTAGATAGATTCCCGGAAGCTGCAGCCAAATGAAGGGGAATGTCGCCTGTCGAATTTGTAGCCCTGAACGGTTCTGGATAGTCCACGAGGATGGGTTCCACAAGGTGGTGATGGCCTAAACTAGCGGCGAGGTGAAGAACCGTGTTCCCTTGTGGGCTCAGTTGCTGCTGAATGGAAGAAATGTTTGATTGTACTAATAGTAACCCATAATTAGGATCCCAATTGTTATGGCTCTGTACAATTGAGGATCCATGGTACTGCTCGGTATTTCGTCTGCTTGTGCCACCATGTTGATACCTATGATTGTGTCTTCTCCAGAAGTCGTTGCGTTCATTGCCATATCAATCGTCCCACCGCATGCCCTCGCCACCCCATGTGGCACGACCGCTAACGACATAGGGGAGATGGAAGGAATACTACTAGTACTTGGAATTATTGATACAAATGGATTATAAAAAATGCAAAAGATTTTCCTTCTACTTTTTCCAACATTGAGTTTTGCAAACCATTTTCTAGTGGCAGAGGGGGGACAAGGACAGTGTGATACAGTAACAAAAATGTGGAGAATAGAAACAAGCTAGTAGGGCGAGTGTGTTTTTGAAAGTTTAACTGTATTTATTGTAAAACTGTAGAGCCCCACAAATGAGGAAGAAATGCGATTAAGCAACTTCGATGAAAGTCGAGCCATTGGAAAAAGTAATGTGAACGAGTAAACCACCAGCGGATAAGAATCCTCGACGAAGCTTGGGGGAAAAACATGGCCCAGTATCGCCAATTGCATGTACATGCATATATATATATATATAGATATATATTCACACAAAAACAACTTCGAGGAAGCATGCAAGGGAAATTATTTGTACTTGGTCCAGGACCGTGCCATCATACATTTTTTTTTTTTTTTTTTTAATTCGGAAAGTTTTTAATATACCGTGACATCATACTTTTTCCAATGGCTTGACTTTCACCCTTAATATGTGAAGAAGAGAAATGCGTAAAGGAAGCGAAGAGGGTCAGTTTTTTGTAATTTTGAAAGGTAAAGTAAAGTATATTAATTTTAAAAATGTACAGCCCCACAACTGCGGAAGAAATGTGATTAAGCATCTTCTATGAAAGTCAAGCCATTGGAAAAAGTAATGTGAACTAGGAAACCACCCAGCGGAAAAGCATCTTCGAGGAAGCTTGGAGGAGAAAACATGGCCCAGGTCGCATGTTATGCAAAATACACACGCGCGCACACACACAAACATATATATACATATATATATATATATTATGAATGGCAAATGGACAGGACGGGTCAGGTTTAGTCATGGTTAAATATGATGGGTCGAGTATGGATTGTGACTCATATTCAATCCGTTTTAATAGGTTAAATATGATTTGGATAAAAATGAGTCCGATTAACCCGTCATGACCCACAACCCGTTTTAGCGAAGAAAAACAAATGTTATACTAGATGGATGAAAGCTTGTAAAAATATATATGGATAATTGTAAATCTTCTAATTTATTTTGAAAATTCTTTATTTTATTTTGTGACTAAACATGTATAAAAGTAGGATATTATATATATATATATATATATATAATATGAAATAATCTATTAAGTTTTTATAGAATAAATCAGGTCGTCCTATTTCGAAATACAGATGTAAACATAAGTTTTTTTCGAGCCGTAATATTACATACACGAGGAGTCCATGATGCAGAGAGAATATTAAAGAGAGAGAATTTGTAATGACCCGAACCCGTAGGTCCGAACCGTTAGCTGGATCCTTAACCGAACCCGAGGTCAACTAAGGACAACACTATTTTTTTCCTACGTCAATACATATTATAAGTGTCATTCCGGGTTTATAAAAAAAATAAGTAATAATAAATAAATAATAATAAAATGAGAAACGGTCTACTAACCCATCGAACCCTGTGGAGGAGCGTCATCCGCCACTTGTCATCCGTGTCCTGAAAAAAAATTAAATATAAGGGGTGAGCAAATTGCTCAGTAGGTGGTGCCTAAGACACATCTCTTGTGACCCCGTGAATCCACACAATGAATAGAAATAGGGAATAGGGATCATCTTTTGCCGGAAAGGAATACAACATTAATTTCAGTTTCATGATATGCGATGCCGTGCCATGATATGCAATGCCATGTATGTCACCCTTTTACTTAAAAACACTTCCATTCTTCACTTTTCAAACCGTTAATGTAACCCTCTTCGATAACCCCTCAGCAACGAGAGAATGATTGGCTTTTGTCCATGACCCTTGGTACCCCCGCGGCGTCATTTGGGGCCCAGATAGCTCAACTACGCTAGGGCGATTCCCCTAATTTTCTCTAGACTAGATTAACGCCACGGACCCTCAGTACCCCTTTGGCATCCTAGTTTTCACAAAATTCTTTTCTCAAATTTTATTTATTTATTTATTTATTTTCCAAAACCCCTTTTTCATTTCAAAACATTTCCCTTCCTTCATACTCAATGACATGCATGTACATCTCATGCCTTCAATACTACAGAAATAGAAAAAAAAAATTATTATTTCATAATTAACATGCTTCTTCATACAAATTTCTAGCAAGTTAATAAGCATCATAGGCATGGAGAATTAGCACATAAAGCATGCTCTTTCATACAATTCAATTAAATACACATACTCACATGCTTCATATATACAATCAAGTCAATTAAGGAGCAATTAACACAATTTAGCAAAATCAAACACAATAGGCATAAAAGTTCACCACTTAAACATGCTTTTACATACCACATCAATTAATTCACATAATTACATACTTTAAATACATAATTAAGTCATTTAAAGAAATATTCAACACAATTGAGTATGCTATATAGCAAAACACATAGAAAATCTCACAAAGGAGCAAGAAATTGTAGATTAAGAACCCATACCTCTTAGGATGCAAAAACTCTCAAAATGGATCTCAATTTTCGGACTTCTTAGAGTGGCCAAAAGCTGAAATTGCTGGTATAGATTTGAAGGTCTCGTTGTGAGCTTCATTTTGCCGCAAACGGCACTCAAAAATTCCAAAAGATGAAAGAGAAATCTTAGATTGAAGATTAAAACCTAAAAGAAAAAGAAAAATCCAGAAGAAGAGGGAGAGAAAAAGAGCTACGGGAGAATGAGAAAAAATGAGTGACCAAGTGGTCTCTAGACCACTTTAAATGGTTGTGGGCCCACCTAGAATTTTATTTTCTTTTTCTTTTATTTTTAACCTCATTTTACACCACACACATATATATATACACATACACATATTAAATTACCACCACATAAAATGCATTAAATAAAAATGATTATGGTGCAAATGGTTCCAACTAAAATCCCCATAAGTAACAGTTCCGGTAGCGGGTCCCACAAGGAACCGTCCGGCGCGAAAAACAGAAAAATGCAAAAATGACCACCCTTACATTTCAAAGAGTCCTGGATTCAATAAAATGCCCCAATCAACTCTCGCACATAACCGGCACACTCCACGGTGTCCGGTACAAAAAAACAATAAAAGACAAAAATACCCCTACAACGACAAAATTCCAGAAAATTAGAAAATGGTGAAAATCGAAAACATCACAATCTACCTTCTTAAAGAGATTTCGTCCTCGAAATCTACCCTCCTTAAAAGAAGGAGGCTCACAACCACACACTTTCCGAGAACACCTCACAAAACCCCGAGACTAAGAACTCAACAACCATATTGCCTTTGACACCGGCGCCAACAGGCAATCACACTCTGCCGCCAGAAAACCCAATGATCACTACCTTATAAAGGTACTCATCACTCACAACATCATACACAACCCACTGAATTCTACACTCGACTTAAAACCAACATTGGTCCCCGCTACACTACTACACAAGGCACAAAAGAAGAATGGTCGTAAGACCCCTGAACATGACAACATCCTATCTCAACCCATCCCTTTAAAGGACACACGAGTCCCAGACAAGGAACCCTATCCACCACACAATCAGACTCAAACTCAGACCTACACCTCTCAGTCAAACCAACACTTGCCATCCAACATATGGCTATACGACTACATAATCATACAATGACCACCAACCACACTGTAATACCCCTAGTTTTCAAAAGGACAAAATGGAAATTTAATTTTGCATTTTGGTTTTTATTTCATTTTTATTTGATTATATGACTTAGTTGTTTGAATTGATTGTTTTATTTGGGGAATTTATTTTATGTGTATTTGCTTAATTGCTTAATTACTATTTATGTGTATTTAATTTAATAGTTGAATTATTTGTGTGTGATTTAATTTCATTATTTTATTTGTATGATTTAATTGACGTGTATTGTTGGTTAGTTTATATAATTTATTTGTCAATTATTTATTTAATTTTTTAAATAGTCGTGGATATAGATTAGGGTTAGGGTTTTCTTTTATAGGGAGTATTTAGCCGACTTGTAAATTAGTCGAAATTAAAAGTATGTTAAATATAGAATGAAGGCCTATATATATTGAACAAAATAAGTCTGCTAGGGTTAGAAAACCCTATGCACGTATTAGTTTTGAGAAGGCAAAACAGAGGAAAAAGGGGCAGTGACCAAAGGAGGAAGGGAATGTATTAGGTTTGCCGGAATTTGCAGACGAAGGTTGAAGGTTTACAACTGAAACCTAGAGGCAAGTTTCCTTCTCTCCTTCCTGTAAACTTGTGTTCTGTGCATTCTTTATAGTCTCCAGGGACTAATTAAACTTTTAAAAAAATTCATGATTGACGTATAATGTATCAGACTGTAATCTGTTTATGGTTTAGATCACTGAAATTTGGTTCTTGCATAAAACTGTGTTAAGTATGGTTTTAAACTTCTGTAAATTTATTTGTAAGGAGTTTCTAGGATGGTTTGGACTACAATTTAACACTGAAAACTTTAAAACGAATTGTTGATATATGTTTCAGACTTTAAACTGTTCGTATGCTTAGTTAAACTGAATTTGGTTTTCCTTGCATAAATTATTGTGTGTAGTTTAAGTTATTTGTCAATCGGTTCACACTGGAATAAGAGGAGTCTCTAGGGGTTTAAGAACTTTAATTGACCTCTAATAATCTTAAGAAGTCTGGAATAGGATATTGGACGTCGCCGGAAACACAGAAGGTAACCGGACGAAGCAGAAAGGAAGTTGGAGCAGAGGAGAAGGCTCAAAGGAGGAGAGAGGCGGCTCCAGAAGGTGGGAGCCGGCTCCCCCCTTCATAGAGCCGGCTCCAAGGGGTTAGGGAGCCGGCTCTAAGGTAAAAAGAGCCTGCTCTTGATTTTTAGAGCAGGCTCCTTTGGTTGGGTCTTGTTTGGGTGCGTTCTGGAATTTGTCTGGGCACTTTTGGGCCATGTTTGGGATTTTAAATGGTTTCAGGGACTGGAATGAAAATTCTAAAAGTAATTTCAAGGGATGTTAAACCATCTACGTGTATGATTTGGTTCATAAGGCAAATGGAATAAACAGTGTAAAAATAAGCGACTTTGTACGCTGCTAACGGATCGGAAGGACTAAGTTGCTAAGTCTTGTTTTAAAATTTTAACGGATGGTAGCATGGACTTTAAACATGATATTGGGCTATATTGGAGCCACACTTGATAAATTAATGTTTTTATATTCATGGATTTAACCGTAGGAAAGTTCAACGGTGGCTGTTAATGGAAGGAATAGGTTTAATTGCCCAGTTTAATTTCAGCAGTTTAACGGAGTATATATATCTTTATAAATTTTATTATGGTAGCATGCTAGGATCATTTATATATCATGGTTGATCTATGCATACCTTGGATATTAATTAATGAAATACAAATTCTTTTTCTGCGATATATGGATTTGAGCTTGGATAGTAATTACTGTGATATTAAGCACTATTTTACAATTACTTGGGTTATAGTTTGGACTTAAATTTCTGAACTAATATTTGGGTTCTGTTAATTTAATTGGATGTTGGCCTGGAATTAATTGAAGAAATAACTATATATATATTTTCTGTCAAATACATAAATGGATGCTGGATTTTAACTTGGTGAACTATAAACCTTGTCTTGATTAGTTACGTGGATGGATTCTGGATTGCTAGTTGATGAACTGTTTAAATGATGTATATCAACTATTTGGATTACGTGGATATGATTTGATGAACTGCTTAAAATGTTGCATCATTCAAGGATCATTTGCATTATATGCACCGGTATGGGACGGTGACATATTAGGGAGGGATTAGATTAAAAAGCTAAGTCCTACCCCTTCATACATACGGAATGGATTAACTAAAATAGTTAACTCCTACATGGATACATGTCCTGTCAACTAAAACAGTTGAACGACATAACGGATGTTTGTTTTATCTTTCTGCATTTAGGAAGGAATTTATATATATATTTATGGTACCGTGATACGAACTTGAGTCTCCTGATCACAGTTAGGGTGTGTATATTGCAAAGGTTGAGTAGCTAGATATAGCTAATGTTCCCTGGTAGGTCTAGGTACTTGGCCGCTGAAAAGCGTGTTTTATAGGTCACCTTCTACTCTGGCTGAACTATGTTATAGGCTAGTGAGCATCCTATAGTGTGTATATATATATATGGACTATTGTAGATATTACCGAGCTATCTAGGAAGTATCTGCGTATCAGGTTTATGTACGGATTGTAGTAGATTGGAACTTGCATGTGGGCCTGACCCAGTCCTATTTTTCAGGTGTTCGTGGGTACCAGACTTAGGGTTTGATCGTGGTGATGCAGATACAGTCACTCACTCTTCCGACTACATAGGATATTCTTTCTGATTTTGGTTTTGGATTTTGATTCTGTAAATGTTTTACCAGTTGGAATTATTAGGGGTCCACTAGATGGATTCCCGAGTTGTACAGATTTGACGGATTTAAATGTTATTAATTTATTATTTAAGGTTCGAGGATTTTCATTTTAATTTCTTTCAGCGCATTATTATTTTATTCTTAATTCAGTTTTATTCTTGCTTGGTTACATATTAATTGTCTGATATCCCTCGGATCTGTGCTCGGACTTGATCACCCGTGGCTCTAGAATCGAGGGGTATCACACACACCAACCGGCAATTATTATACTGATCAACCTCAAGATGACTAAATGATGAATCTCCTAACAATTATACAATCATAAGCCACCAAATCGATAGAGCGTACCCTCTTGTGCCCAGGACTCAAATCCTCAAAACCAGATCTTTAATAATCAAGCGGATTGGACTTGGTTCCACCTAACACACTTCGTCACCCGAGACAACTTCCTGAATCCACACCCTCACACTGACACAACACCCAACACCATACTTTCACTATTTATGACAACTTGAAACAACCATTGACCTTTGACCTGACATCGTGTTAAAGAGGGATTGATTCAGGAGAAATGGTTGGCCAGGCCACTCTCATCATTGATCCGATCTCAACACAGACGTCGTTCCTGTCCTCAGGTCCAAACCTCAAACACAGTCTCACACAATCCACAAAACAACTATAAGATCCACTCACTATCCATCCATTGCTATACACAACCTCAATAACTATACAATCATATACCTATCTTTAAAATCCCAATCATATCTCAATCACATAATCATAATAAACAAAAACAACACAGCACTAAATGTTTCAATCATCGACCAACATCAAAGCTCTCTAATCTTCTTATAATACCCATACCTGGTAAATAACTTCAAAACATCATTCGATTCAATTCTGACCTCGTCAAAACACACAATACAACTATTTAATACCTAAGATCTCAAAAACAGAATCAATTATTCCTATTATCCTCAATGGAATCCCATAATCATTCTCTAACTGCATAACATTCAACAATACCAACACCTGTCCCCAAGACATTGCTAGAATCAATCACCTATAAAAACATCTAAATATATGAGTCACATCACATCACCTAATCATCCTCAATATTTCATTCATGACAAATTCCTTGCCGCCGCCACTAGTATCTGATACCGAAAACATACAATCCCTATTAGACAGCTCGTGCCTCACACACCACCATGCAAAACCACACTCAAAACGGGCACTACAGAAACCCAAGACTCCACCTCCCTCCGAGGGAGTGAGTCGACCCCTTTTAATCAGAGCTTCTACCGTTGAACCCTAACAACATAAAAAACTACACATAGGTCCGTCCACCCACGGACGCACACAACTTCTAGATGGAGGACAAGACACACAACAAATGACGTCCTCGCCAGACCAGAATAAACGGAAAGGGTAACAAACCCCACCCTCACAAAAGTCCGACAACTCACACCTAAATGCACCCAACAACCTGTCACACGCTACTCATCGTTCGTCCAACCATTGACACCCAAACTCTCCTAAGATGAATTGAACTCCTTATACACAAAGAGAAGAACCAACTTGGAAACATATACAAGACCACGAACACTAATCTAAGCGACCTCGCCACTAACGGACCGTCCTACACAATCAACACAGAAACCTCACAAATACTTCTCCGTAACACTATGCTAACCAAAACCAATCAGATAAAAGCACCAACACCCTCAACGTACTAACACTAGGAACCATCATTTCACGTTGGATACCGTGTCCCATCCTACCCAAAAATCTCCCAATGAGAAACTCTATGAAATACAACGACACATGATCACCTGTTCCACCTCTACCCTTTAAAGGCGACACTGCCTCGATCACCATGCACACAAGACCTGTGACCTGACTCTTCAAAAGAAAATATGGCTATTTGGCAACACCACTGTCACTGGCTCTAAGGACTAAACTGTCCACAATCACCTCAATTGGCACACAATCCTATCACCTACATAACAACATACAACAAACAACTCATAATCTCTACATCACATTTGAATCACATCTTAAACCGTTCTACTTCTCAACACTAATTATCATACTATAACACCTTCACTGCCACTCATTTAAGACAACAGTTCAAACCTATCATCCCATGAGACCATCAAGCCACTGCCAAACGATTCTTCTTTCAATATCCTTAAGATAACACCATCACAACAATAGAATGAGCACCACTCTCAGTACTTCCCACAATGACCACTATTTACCACTTGAAAAGAACATCCATACGGCAAGGCCATGCCGATAAATTCTCAAAATAAAAATGAGCATAAAAATCCAAAATGCTCAACACCCAACTGTCTTCTTAAAACCATCAACGATGTAATCAATCACCACTTTCTTCCCGAATACTGAGGTCACCCCAAAACTGACTTACTCTCTAATACAGGAATCTCAAGTACTAATATCCCCATGATCATCCTTCCTAAAATAACTACACAACTCCAATCCCCTGGAGACAACGAGCCTCCATTAATCAACTGCTCATTCAAAAGTGATACCAACCTAGCACTAAACACACACATTACTCATGATACCCGACACCATAGTCAACAACCCGTTACAAGAAAATAAAAATCCTACGTGGCAACGCTACAGGAATAATCCCTAAGAGGGATAACAGACACCACGCCAAACGGTCAACCACACAAACTACACTCTACGACAACTACAAAACAGTGGTCTCTCATTGGTATCTAACTGGACACTCAAGTCATACCTACAACTGACTTATCCGACCAAACAAAAGGGTATACAACTCCTACGCCCCTAACACTATCATTTTCCAACCAATCGCTACAACTACCATACAACTCAAGGGAATGTCCACATCGATTTCATCTGAGTTGTCTGCCTGCAGCTAGCCCAGTGTGGTAGCCTTCTAGTGACACCTGCACACGCTCACGCACACCCGCCCATAGGGCCACAAAACAAAGAAATTAAATAGAACAGGCCACCAAGCTCAAGAGGTCACTCCTCATCCTGGCTCAACACAATCTATGACCAACACTCTATGGTCACCAAACAACATCACATTAAGCTTCTGCCTTCCTCACTGGAAATCAAAACAAAAGGTGCAACCTACTCATCTCATCACCAACTCAAAGTCAACCTCAACTTTTACTCCCAAAACGGCAATCTAAAAGACAAACTCTCAACCTTAACATCAGTAAACTTCTAAATAAAAATCCAAATACAAACCTTGTTCAACCCATACAACACCTGAACCTTACAAGCCATACACTACATACGACTTTACGTCCTATGACATCTAATCAATTTTGCTTACATGAAAGGGTCCCGTGACTCACACACCATACCCTACTAACCTATTATCCCAAAAGTTCACTCACTACACCGAGAAAACACAACACAAACTCTTGCCCGTTCAAGAAAATGAGAACTTCCATCCCGGAAGATACCTAAGATCAAACCCTATCACCGTTACCAGTCTCTAGGGAAAGGACTCCTAATGGAACCTTGTCATTTTAGTATGCATTAAAAATTTAACCATGGAATTAATCTCATAAATTTTGTCACTTATCATTAAATACTTAAGCATGCTTTAATTCAATAAGTAATTAACACCTAAGCAGATAAGCAAGTAAGCAATTAGGTATGCTTTTTAAAAAAATTAAACACTTAGCACATAAATATATAAACATGCAATTCAACTTCCCATGCAATCCTAGGCAGGCCTCTACCTGTCGTCCTAATGGTATTCGAACCATTACTCTGATACCAATTTTGTAACGACCTGAACCCGTAGGTCCGAACCGTTAGCCGGGTCCTTAACCGAACCCGAAGTCAACTAGGGACAACACCATTCTTTCCTACGTCAATACATATTATACGTGTCATTCCGGGTTTATAAAAAAAATAAGTAATAATAAATAAATAAATAAATAATAATAAAATGAGATTATAGCTATAAAGTATGTCAAAATGATCTACTAACTCATCGAACCCTGTGGAGGAGCGTCGTCCGCCACTTGCCATCCGTGTCCTGAAAAAAATATTAAATTTAAGGGGTGAGCAAATTGCTAAGTAGGTGGTGCCTAAGACACACCTCTTGTGACCCCGTGAATCCACACAATGAATAGAAATATGGAATAAAGATCATACTATGCCGAAAAGGAATCCAACATTAATTTCAATTTCATGATAAACGATGTCGTGCCATGATATGCAATACCATGTATGTCGCTCCCCTTACTTAAAAACAATTCCATTCTTCACTTTTCAAACCGTTAATGTAACCCCCTTCGGTAACCCCTCAACGACGAGAGAAGGATTAGCTACCGTCCCTGACCCTTGGTACCCCCGCGGTGTCATTTGGGGCCCAGATAGCTCAACCATGCTGGGGCGATCTCCCTAATTCTCTCTAGACTACATTAACGCCACGGACCCTCAGTACCCCCTTGGCGTCCGGATTTTCACAAAATTCTTTTCTCAAATTTTTTTTTTTTTTTTTTTTTTTTTTTTTTCAGAACCCCTTTTTCATTTCAAAACATTTCCCTTCCTTCATGCCCAATGACATGCATGTATATCTCATGCCTTCAATACTATTGAAATGGAAAAAAAATTATTATTTCATAATTAACATGCTTCTTCATACAAGTTTCTAGCAAGTTAATAAGCATCATAGGGATGGAGAATTAGCACATAAAGCATACTCTTTCATACAATTCAATTAAATACACATACTCACATGCTTCATATACATAATCAAGTCAATTAAGGAGCAATTAACACAATTAGCAAAATCAAACACAATAGGCATAGAGATTCACCACTTAAACATGCTTTTACATACCACATCAATTAATTCACATAACTGCATGCTTTAAATACATAATTAAGTGATTTAAAGAAATATTCAACACAATTGAGCATGCTATATAGCAAAACACATAGAAAATCTCACAAAGGAGTAAGAAGTTGTGGATTAAGAACCCCTACCTCTTAGGATGCAAAAACCCTCAAAATGGGTCTCAATTTTCGGACTTTCTAGAGTGGCCAAAAACTGAAATTACTGGTATGGATTTGAAGGTCTCATTGTGAGCTTCATTTAAAAATTCCAAAGGATGAAGGAAAAATCTTGGATTGAAGATTGAAACCTAAAAGAAAAAGAAAAATCCAGAAAAAGAGTGAGAGAAAGAGAGCTACGGGAGAATGAGAAGAAATGAGTGACCAAATGGTCTCTAGACCACTTTAAATGGTTGTGGGCCCCACCTAGAATTTTCTTTTCTTTTTCTTTTATTTTTAACCTCATTTTACACCACACACATATATATATACATACACATACACATATTAAATTACCACCACATAAAATGCATTAAATAAAAATGATTATGGTGCAAATGGTTCCAATTAAAATTTTCGTAAGCAACAGTTCCGGTAGCGGGTCCCAATCAACTCTCGGACATAACCGGCACACTCCACGGTGTCCGGTACACAAAACGAGAAAAGATAAAAATGCCCCTACAACGACAAAATTCCAGAAAATTGGAAAATGGTGAAAATCGAAAACATCACAGAATTTGGGATCGTGTGAGAGAATTTTTAAAAAGAAGAGGTAAATTTGAGTCAAATAAAGGTTGTAAAATTAGGTCTCTTATAACGAGTGACTATGGGTCAAAATGAGTAACTCATATTCAACTCTCTGTAAAAATGGGTTGAATATGGTCACCTATTTTGACTTATATTTTAAAATAGTTTACCCATATTCATTTTAAAACGGGCCGATATGAACGGATTGGTGAGTCATGACCCATTTTACCACCCATTATATATATATATATATATATATATATATATATATATATAGAAAAACATCTTCGAGAAAGCTTACAAGAGAAATTATTTGTACATATTCCAGGATCATTCCATCCCTGCCAATTATATATGGGAGCTATATAAAAAATGTGACCGAAAAAAAAAAAACAAAACAAAACAAAACATTCTCTATATAAATCCCTATATTTTAAAATTTGGTAAAAAATTGCTATTTAACCAAAAACTTGTATGAAAACTTGAAAATGCCCTTTTCTACTAATCATGATACCCCTAAAGATTACATATTTTAGCACTTTTGTTGGCCCAATTTTTTCTCCTCTCTAAACCATAGGGCTTAGCTCTCTCCCTCTAAAACGTATCTCCCTACCACAACTCTACAACTGTTAGGCCTAATTCGATCCTAATTCCATGAAGAATATACTTGATCCGATAACTTGACGAATTATTTGTTAATGAATTCATATCCAATTAGGTAGTTTATGGAATATCTAATCTATTAAAAAAAATTAATTTTTTTGTTAAACTTCTAAAATTAAACCACACTACAAACCCTCTACGAAGGAAGAGGAACCACTCTTATTTCATTCAATGAGACCAAAGATTTTACAAACTTAATACAATGAACACTGAACACTGCGTCACTATCATTTACAACTCAAAAATCAGAGAAGAAGAGACCTTTGAAAGGTACTTTATTCATAGGTAACTTTTTTAAATGAATTTCGTTCCGTCATAATTATAAATTTTACTTTTACCGCTTTGAACCTCCCGCTTTCACTTTACTCCTACTTAGAGCATCTTCAACCATTGTTGTAGCTCATCATATGTATTCCATGCCCCCTTATCCATATCTAGCTACTGACTATGGTACACAACTGTCATTGTTCACACATCACATGTGGATTGGCGGATTTCTCATAGTTGGTGCTGCTGCGCATGCAGCCATTTTTATGGTAAGAGACTATGATCCAACTACTCGATACAACGATCTATTAGATCGTGTCCTTAGGCATCGCGATGCAATCATATCACATCTCGTAGAATTGTTAAATATGGATGCCAAATCTATATTTTGACAGTACTATAGTGTCAAAATACTACATTTTAGCAATTTTGCTACAATGATACATTTTGTGCAAAATACTATTTTTTGACACAACCATCATTATTTTTCAACTACCATTCCCATCATCATATTTGTATCAGTAATATTAATATTAGGCACATTTCAAGTCAAGTTGTAGACATTAAAAGGAACTAAAATTAAACTTAATTAAAAAGAAGCAAAAATTTAAAATATCTGGTCAAAAAAGGACAAAAAAAAAAATAATAATAAAACAAAATGATTTCTGGATTTCTGATGGTGTCAAATGAAATCTCAATAACCAATAAGAAGTTGACAACTCATCACCCTATCACAAACAGACAACTTCAAATTTATCCTCTCCACCTTTTCAGCTTTTCTCCATCTCTTCGCATCATCTTTCAATGCCTTTGCCAGAACAAAGACAATCTCTAAATAAAAACGATCAACGACCATGGATTTCGATTCCGATGAAATTTTTTATGTTTCTCTCCAGTGCCATCTCTACACTCCTCTCTCTCTCTAGCAGTTTACTGCTTCACAGACATCCTCATTGGCAACCGTGGCGTCCATGGATTCCGGCGAGATTAATCTTTGTTTCTCTCTAACACCCTGCACTCTTCTCTCTAGCATTGGTGAAATTTTTTATGATCTTTTTTAAATATATATATGTATATGTGTGCCAAATCTGAACCCCGCCTTTCTCTCTCTCTCTCTCTCAAATAGCAGTAGATATTTCTTGTGCTATAATTGACAAAACTTTTAGCAAAATTAAAAATTAGCAAGCATTTTAACATTATATTGAAAAATCTCTTTTGAAATTCCTTTGCTATATTTAAAAAATGACAGACATCGTAGTATTGGATTGGAGATGCTCTTAAGTTGTTCAAATCCCTTTAGCCCTCTTGGGGAAGCATTCAGAGTTCAGAGGATTACTTTTTATCTCTTGGAATCTTTGGAAACAAATTTTATTTTGAAGGCGCTATAATTCAGGGGAGAGAGATTATTTCTAACCATTTTCAAGTATCTCTCTGATTGCAAATCTGATCAAGTTGCTGAAAAGTGGGACCACCCCCGACAGCAGTACGTTCTAAAGCATACTTTTGATGCTGTTTTCAATCAAGCAAAATGGGTCGCTGCTGGGAAATTGTTAATCCTATTAGATATTATGTGAGTTGCATCATCAATCATAAATGTGGCGGCTGCTTTTTTCATATTTGATGCTTTAGCTTATATATATATATATATATATATATATTGGCTTTTCTTAAAAAAATTACTACAATTGCATTTTTTTGTTTAATAATAGAATAGGTAGGGTTATTTTATTATTATTATTATTATTATTATTATTATTTTTACGGAAGTTGATAATAGAAAGGGTATATAAATGATAAATTTGTGGTGAACATAAATGATAATTGTGTGGTGTTATCCATATAGCATGATCCAAGACTGAAAAACACAAATTGCCATCACTATAATCTACTTGAGAAGGTCTCATCAGAGTCCAAACGAGTATACTCGTGTTCGAGTCTCCCTTTCCAGTTTGTCAAGAAAAAAAAAAAAAATCTACATGAGAAGGATTCAAGTTTAAAATGGCCTAAAGGTACTCGAAGCCAAAGGCAGCACAATTGGAAACCAAGAACAATTAACAGCAAGATATCTCTACAAAAACAAGCAAGAAAACATTTTTTTTGGCCGCCACAAAGATACAAAATGTAATTTTAATCCAGTGCTGGCATAACCAAAGAACAAAATGAATTAAAAGTAGAACTAAAAGTTATGCCAAATCGGACCTTATTCATGAATGAATTCTTACTTCTTGCCATGAATTTTTGAAAGAAATACGTGCTTACTCATTATTTTCTATGTGACAGTTGGAGCTTCGAATCAAAAGAAAATATTTTATCTTTATGGAATTTTCTTGGTTAGAAATTTCCATTTGGAGTGGTAGAGTGAGGTTTTGTAGAATTTTTTTGCACCTACGCTTGCATTAATCATATTTGCTCAAATGCAATTAAAAAGGCTTATGAAATTTGCCAATAACGGTAAAACAATAATGGAAGCCTTGCTTTAATCTTCCAATTAATATATATATATACACACAACACACACAAACTGAAGAGATTGTTCTTATTTTACAAGAACCGGAGTAAGAGGGAAATTTTAGAGGCTCTGCTATCATTTATTGGATCGGGCCTTGCTATCACAAATGAAAACTTATTAATGTCTAGTGAAGGGAGGACACGCATTTTATGGCATACGACATCAAGCACCACTTGTACAAGGAACAACATATCGTGCTACATGGGTTTCTCTCTTGTTGGCCCTTTTGGGCTTGTTTTCTTGGTCCAAATGGACTGCATGGCATGGCCTAATGGCACACATTGTAAATTCTTATTTTTATTTTAATATATTTCAGTCGCTTTAAAATCCAAAAAAAAAAAAAATAAATAACATGCTACTCCAACCAACAATGATGAAACCAAGGGCCCAAAAAATGAAATTCCAAGACTTTCCTGTGAAATATCATATCAAGTGAAGGGATTTCTATATAGAATATTGTATGGATGACGACCCTACATATATGTCCAACAGTAATTCGAACCGTGAAAACCTACACTAACTCCTCTTTAACATTGGCAGTGATCAAATGTGACTAACTGAATTAACACCTTAATGGGGAATTTTTTTTTATTTATTTTTTATAATTCAACTATACTTTCTCATCAATATTGGTCCTAGACCAATTACCTAGTTTTCCTCTTTTCCCATTACAAACAATAATATTAGCTTTTATGATATTATAGAGATAATGACAATCAGCAAATTTGAAATTAAATTCATATGTTACTATTAAGTCACCAAAAAAAAAAAAAAAAAAAAAAAAGGATCAACATTGATCAGAGTTCAAACAAACAACCAAGTCCTGGGGCCAGGGGTAACTCCTCTCTTTTCAAAGTGAAAGGTAGAGGTTGAGTTTCCCACTTAATTAATCAGACTTCAAATTATTGAAACTGAATTTAAACTCAACCTAAGATGTCCAGAAAGTACACAATATCGGGGTATTTTACACTAGTGGTGCTTTTTCTTAAAAACTACCCATTTTACACGTGGCATACAATACCGGGAGTATTTTACACGTGGTATACCCTAAGTTGTGGAGAACATATACAATATACCTCAACCTAAGTTGTGACCCTAGGTACAGAAAATCCTCAATTGCAACAACAGGATCCACACCCTCCACAAATCCGCCTCCATAAAACAGAGGGCAACCTATGTCTCATGGTTACAAGACAATATAAAATCACTGCAACTAGCATTATATAGAATAGCATAATGAATTATTTTCAAATAAAAGATTCACAGTTTACAAATATGAGTGCAATGCCATCATAACTAGTCTTACAAGAACAAAATATAGAACAAAATGGAGAATACCTATAAAATTTACCACCAGTATATCCACATCAACACAACATTAGTGGGCATCACCAGCACAAGCACCCAAAATTTCAGACACTTTATATATAAACCTCAGCTACATACAAGAAAAACACATTACTCAAATACTAACCAAAAAGTATCGATTATGAGAGAAGAGAGTTGTAAAAAACACGTTTACTAACAAAGTTATTCCAAAATAGTATAGATGGAAATAATACCTTTTAACCTGGCATCATATGCAATTCAACACCACATAATAAACTGAGGTAGAGAAACACCGCATCAGATATCAACCACGAACCAACTTGAATGCAATTCCCGAACCATAAACAACTTAAGATCCGCAGCATTGATGTAGCAGTGACCAGCCACTACAACTCTCAATTTGTGCAACACAATTCACAGTTTAAGAAAGAAACAATGATAAGAATTGAAACAAGTCCATGAAATGAACATAATAAACTGATAGATAACATCGACATTATAACTACAGAAGAAACAGTATAATCAGTCGGTGAAATAAACAACATACTCCAAATAACTAACTATTTTAAGCTACAAAAACTGGTCACACCATTTTGCAAAGCTCAGAATTGCAACTTACAACATCTGAAACTAGCTCCATCACTACAGAAGATCAATAGGTTGATCTCCCATCACCTTCGGTGATCACATCTTGGAAGGCTCCACCACTGGGGATCATAGGCAGGACATGCTCCTGATGAGGTACAACCACATCCAGTAAGTATGGACCAGGGGTATCCAACATTTTCTGAATTGCAGCCCTAAGATCTCCTTTCTTCGTCACACGGGCAGCAGGTATATCACAAGCTTCTGCAAACTTCAACATATTTGGGAATATCTCGGACTCTTTTGATGGGTTACCCAGATACGTGTGGGCTCTGTTAGCCTTATAGAACCGATCCTCCCATTGAACAACCATACCCAAATGCTGATTATTCAGCATCATTATCTTTACCGGAAGATTCTCCACCCTGATTGTCGCCAACTCCTGGACATTCATGATGAAACTTCCATCACCATCGATGTCCACAACAACCGCATCAGGTCTTGCAACAGCAGCTCCGATTGCAGCAGGCAATCCAAAACCCATAGCCCCCAATCCACCCGAAGTCAGCCACTGCCGAGGCCTATTATACTTGTAAAATTGCGCAGCCCACATTTGATGCTGCCCAACACCAGTACTTATAATGGCATTCCCCTTGGTCAACTCATCAAGAACCTGAATTGCATATTGAGGAGGAATAACCTCTCCAAATGTCTTAAAACTCAATGGGTACTTCATTTTCTGCTCGTTTAGCTCCTGCCTCCAAGCTGAAAAATCAAGCTTACCCTGACCTCCTTTCCTCTCCAATATCATGTTCAGACCGTCCAATGCATACTTCACATCTGCACAAACCGACACATGGGGTTGCTTATTCTTCCCTATCTCAGCTGAATCTATATCAATATGAACAATTTTAGCACGGCTGGCAAAAGCTTCAAGCTTTCCGGTCACACGGTCATCAAACCTTACTCCAAATGCAAGCAACAAATCACTTTTGTCCACAGCATAATTAGCATAAACAGTACCATGCATTCCAAGCATTTGCAGGGAAAGCTCATCCGAACACGGGTACGCCCCTAGACCCATCAAAGTGCTAGCCACTGGAATGCCAGTAAGCTCCACAAATTGCCTCAACTCCTCACTGGAATTCACACACCCACCACCCACATACAAAACAGGTCTTTTCGACTCCGATATCAACCTAACAATCTGTTTTAATTGGTCCACATTGGGTAGTTTTGGCAATCTTGACATGTAACCAGGTAATTTAATGGGTTGATCCCAATTTGGAACAACCAACTGTTGCTGTATATCTTTTGGAATATCAATCAACACAGGACCAGGTCTGCCCGAAGATGCAAGAAAGAAAGCTTCACGCACAATTTTAGGAATGTCTTCTACATCTAGAACAAGGTAATTATGCTTGGTGATCGAGCGAGTTACCTCTACAATTGGGGTTTCCTGAAATGCGTCAGTGCCTATCATTCTTCTCGGGACTTGCCCGGTAATGGCGACTAATGGGATGCTGTCGAGCAGCGCGTCGGCGAGTCCGCTCACCAGATTGGTGGCGCCGGGTCCCGAAGTGGCGATGCAGACGCCCGGCCGGCCGGAGGCGCGTGCGTAGCCCTCCGCGGCGAAGACGCCACCCTGTTCGTGCCGCGGAAGGACGTTTCGGATGGTGGTGGAGCGCGTGAGGGCCTGGTGGATCTCCGTTGACGCGCCGCCGGGGTAGGCGAAGACTGAGGTGACGCCTTCGCGCTCGAGGGCTTCGACGAGGACGTCGGAGCCCTTTCTGGGTTCGTCAGCGGCGAAACGGGAAATGAAGGTTCCGGGGAGGCTTTCAGGGGTGGAGGTGGTGGCGGTTTTGGGGTTGGACAGGACATTGGAGATATGGAGAGGACGGTGGAGAGTGGGTTTTTGGGGGTTATTGGAGAATGGGAGGGTAAACCTAGAAATGGGTTTTGAGAATTTGGAGGGGAAGAGAGGAGAGGGCTTGGAGATGGAGGTGTTCGCAGCAGTGGCCGCCATTTTTGACGGCAGAGATAGAAACAGAGGCTTCTGTAGGGTTCTGGCGAAAGAGAGACAACTCTGTGGTGGCAGATGAGAACTAGTAAGGCGCCAGATAGGTAAAATTACTTGCATACCCTTTTTGTTTGTTTCCTAATGTACTAGAACTCCTTTATTTTTTTTCATGTTTGTAATTTTCTTTGGTTTTTTTTTTTTTTTCTTTATTGCTTTCACTTTTAAAAACAGGAAATTTATTGGAATTTCATTGAAGTCTGAATGAAGAAGATACACAGATTCACCAGTTTCAGAATACATTTTTTCTGGAAAAAAAATGGTGCTCATTCTGTCAGCAGCAAAGTGAAACACATGCTCATTTGGCTGTTGGGTGGGCCTTGCCCCCCTTTTTCTTCTTCTTCTTGTACTATCTTTTTCATATCGAACTAATTATTTTAGTTAGAAAAAAATAATAATAATAAGAGTGAGAAGTGAGAACATAAGTGATTTTTAGGCAATTAAAGAAATATTACTTCCGTCCTAAAAACAATGTTGCTTTTGAAAAATTATAACAGCTTTATTTGTGAGAATCACATTGTTTTAAAAATGACATTTTTCATGGGACATAAAAAGTAATATTTTATAAAATAATAACTAAATTGGTTCTTCAATAACATTCTCGCCTTAACGGCACATAAATAGAACCAGTAAATTATCTGATATTTTCTAACGCATCTCATTTCTTCTACTATATTTAACTTGTTAAATTCATTTATAAGAAACTCATTCCATGTTATCTTTGATTACCATCTCCTTCCCTAAATGATTCAATTTCCTAAAACAATTTCTACAAACTCTTAAAATGTATAAGAGCTTTTTACTTTATTTTCAACAAAACCATTTATTAAATGAAGTTTCAAAAAAACAAAATTAATTCAAACGTATTCAGTTACACAATACTTTTCAACAGGTGTTGTTCTCCCGCTCCGAACACGTTCCCTCTATCACACTTCGCGCGCGCTTTAAATCAAAATTTCACTATTTATGACTTAATTATGTCACTCTCACACTCTCACTTTTAAATTTCCTCGTGTTGTCGTCATGCTTTATGTGACTTAGTGCTCGCATGCATTTATATTTTTTTTATTTATATTTTTTTTTGCACAAAAGTTTTCCGTGAATTAAGTGCTTCCCCTTTCATTTTGTGGGGACAGTGGTTAAGAAGCCATGCGCGCATTTGAACCGCCACATTTAAGTGACAACTTTACATATGAGGACGACTGAGAAAAAGATTATTTTCAAGGATAAGATGTGGACGGACCAAAAATAATGCATGTGCATCAATTAAGCCTAAGATGGCTAAGAAAGTCACGCAGCCATTAAATTATTTGAGGGGACCATTTTAAACAATGATAAGATTAAAAAAAAAAATCAAATTACTCTAGTAAAAAAATTATTTTTAATAGATATTTTCATTTGAAAGTACTCATATTTCTATTTTAGATTTTTTTATTTATAAGTATTTAATTTTTTTTTATGACAAATGAAGACAATCTTGAAAAAATTATGGTCTAACTCATATCCAAGAAAATTCATGTATGAATAAAATTTTAGTAGATTATAAATGCTATAAATAATTTTAAAGAGGTAAATAAGTTATAAGTATTATTCACTTCCACGTATAAAATTTTATTGAATTTAATACACCGACAAGGTTGATCTATTATGATATGGAGGTTAGGAGTTGAAAATAAGGAAATAATATTTTCACATACGTATATAAGTAAAACATTATATTTGATTTGACTCCCTCCAAACTATTTGATTTGACTCTCTCCAAACTATATAATGACGGAAGCCTATATGGATGAGTGCAACTAGACCTGTCAATGGAACTAATCCTGATCCGGATATGGATTGAACAAAAAAATCCGATAACCCGATTATAATCCGAATCCGATAATTCGTTTGCTTAACAAATCGGATATGGATTATGCTGATCTGATCCGATCCGATTAAAATTATATATATAATTATTTATCAATAATTTTACATATTTATATCAATACATTGTATTCGAGGTAACCAAAAAATCCAAAAAATAAAAAGAAAATCATAATGTTATATATCTAATAGTATGGTGTTCTTATCCACATACTAATTAATCTCTTAATATACATATTAATAGTGTGGTGTTCTTATCAATGTTATAATATTAGTTATATATTACTAAATTTTTATTCATTTGGTTTCATAGTTATATTATGTAGCATTCTGTATATTAGCAATTCTCCACGATTCGAGTCCGAATTAAATAGGATATAGATTTGGACATTCAGTCTGAGAATCCGTTAGTAATCTAAATCCGATAATCTGTTTAAGCTTTGGATATGAATTTGATCGATCCGATTCGAATCCGATCGATTGGCCTAAGGGCAACACTACTAATTTAAGCGAATGAGAATCCATTAATCTTATCTTTTGAATATTGGTCGATTCCTTGAAAAATAAATTGAGTTCTCTAATCAAATTTTGTATAAAAATTTAGTAGATTATAGAAGCTATAACGTACGTAAATATATATATAAACGCACATATAATTATAATAAATTTTCACTCATCTTGACATAATGATTAGGTTGCTCCATTATGACATGGTGGTCACGAGTTCGAAATAAGAAAATGTAAGACCAAAATTGAGATGGCATGGGCAGAGCTTGAGATTCTAAAATTCACCAAAAATCCTAATAAAATTAAATTATAAAAAGAACATGGTTACATACACGAAGTCAACACCAGTAAGGTAACTTCGTGTCATATTGGCAGATGGTGTTGAAGGTCTAGGCCTGGACTTGTTTCGGACCAAACCAAGTTTGACTTGGGCCGTCCTGGTCCAACCCGATAATTAGGTCCATCTTTTGGGCTTAAGTTATGAAGCCTGACCTTATCCATAAGCTAGAACAGGCCTGCCAATACACCTGTTTGAGCCCAATATTGGCCTGCCATGTGATGTGAACAAGATATGCGCTAATTAGAGATCTCCTCTCTCTCTCTCTCTCTACACACTGACACACCCAGAGAGACCACTTCGCAGATCTCTTCGTCTTTGGAGCTCAACAACGTCGCCGGCGGGTCTGCGGTGGTCACGAAAGTTGCCGACAGGTACGAAACCCTAATTTAGTAAGCTCTCTGTTTTATCCCTCTATGTGTATATGTGTGTTATATGACTGCGCATGTGTAGGTGTAGGATGGATGGGGTTGTTGTTAGGGTTAGGGTTGTTTTGGTGCTTTTTCTTAGCCTAATGTTTGTTTCTAAATTTCTTTAATTTCCATTTTTTGTGATATGAGGATTACTGTCATTTCAACCATGTAAACACTTGTTGATCATTACTGGAAAATCAGTTTTGGAATTCTTACTGCATCACCACCGCCAGCAACCTAAATCGAGTGTCTGTAAATTTTTAGCAATTTGAACTTCTGTCTCTCCTTGCATCCGGCAATGATCTCGGGGGTAGCTTTGAGAGTTTTTTGGTGGCAAAAACTGTTTATTTTTTATTTTTATAAAGCTAAAGCTTTCCCATTGTTTCTGTTTTTTGTTGACAGATTTGAATTTGGTGTTTGCTATCTCGAGCTCATTGTAATTTCTTGATGATTTGTGGTTGTGCTGATATTTTCTTGACGTTTAGCTTCTAGTTTTTTTGGTTCTGAATCTTCTGATCCTTTCAAAATTATATTTTAATTTGAATGGTTTGAATATATATATATATATATATATATATATATATATATATATGTATGTATGTATGTATGTATGTAGACATGCATATAGGTGATTTCTATCATTGATGCAGATGTTGTTAGTTACGTGAAGGGGAGCACTTGCTCCTCCCCCGATGTCTTAGTAGATCTTTTGGACTCTTTGGGTCCTTAGGTTCCTATTCCGTTTTTGTATTAGGGACGCGTTCCCCTTTTGAACACCCTTTTTATCGATTATTACTTATCAAAAATATATATATATATATATATATTCCTTATAACTTGGCCTTTTTGTTGTATCTGATTGAATGTTCATGATCAAGGAAGCTGAACATCCATTTTATTTCAAACAGTCTAACTAAACTGAATGAGCGCATTCCAGGGTGGGGGTTGGGATGCATATCAGTTTGGTTCTAGAATTTCAATGATATGGTTCTGATTCTTATATTTTCAGAACTGTTGGGACCGATTCGGTTCATCTCAGAACCAGACTAAACGCGTGCACCCCTAATTTTAACAAGTCAAGCAGTTCATGAACAGTTTGGTGCAGAAGTGGAGCACACATGGTAATTGATAAGATTTAAAAGGAGAAGTTGTTAATGAGAGTAGAAAAGAAAAACGGATAATATCAATAAAATTTCTAATGGAAGAAAACAGAACTTAACATAGTTAGCGCTTATGCACTAAAAACGTGGGATTACACAAACACGTTAGAGCCAATCAAGGGAACATACAGATATATTAACAAAGATACTCAAAGGAGAGAAATTATTTATAGGAGCCTATTTTAATGATCATGTAGGAAAAGATTACTGATGGTACCAGATGGTATAAATTTGGAGATAAGAATGCTGTTGTGGAGCTAATCCTAGATCTCGTAGTGGCATGTGATCTTTTAAGAATCTTTAAAATTAGATCAGATAACCTTTAATATATATATATCTGATAAGAGTTGGATCTTATGCTAACTGGAAGAGTTAATCGATTAACGTGCATGGTTGTAAGACTATTCTGATGTAGAATTTGATGACACGACATAGATTGATAAATTAAGAACAAGATTTTAAAAAAGGTATCATGAAGTTTAGAAGATAAAGCAAACACAAATTATGATGATCGAATGTATTAAAAGAGCATAAAAAAAGGAACATTGATTAAAAGAGGTTTCTGAAGAAAAAAAGGGAAAGGTCCATTTTCTGAGAAAACTTGATGGTTGGTGAAGGATGTCCAAACTGCTGTAAAACAAAAGCGACTGTTGTCAAATTTAGCAAAAGATAGAAATGAAGCAAGCTTCAATAAATACAAAGAAAGTGTAAAAAAAAAAAAAAAAAAATTAATGGTAATATATTGATACAGTTGCATAGTTAGCAGTTAGCACCTTCATGAATTCAAGAGGTAATTAAAAATCTATCTGTGTTATTTTTAGTTGGTATTTACTAAGTAGTTGTAAACTTGTTGAGTAATGTTGAGTAGCTTTTTTGCCCTGATTATTTAATTCCCTTTGTTTTGAACAATTAACAAGATTAAATTACTCTACTTTTACCATCCGTTTGTTTTGCATCAAATATTGGAAGATTTTATAAATTAGGTAAATATAATGGGGGGTGATATATATGTAAATAGATATGTATATGTATAGAGAGAGAGAACCTAACCGGAAAAAAGAGAGAAGGAAATATATGTAAATATATAGGTAATATGTATAGAGAGAAAACGTACCCAAAAAAAAGGAGAGGGGGAGAGAGAGAGGGAGGGAGGGAGAGGGAGAGGGAGAGGAGGAGGGAGGGAGAGAACCAAGAGTTATCATATTAAGTGTTCGAGATTGGTAATCTAAAGGTTTTGTGAAAGATGATGGAATTAGTGAAAAATGAAAAATTACTTTGAAAAATTATCGAATGAAAAACATACAAGTAACTTAGGTTTAGAAGGATATTTTTGACTTTAGGAAGACTACAGAAACTTTTTCATAGAATCAGGATGGGCTATATAAAAATGCATTGTGGGAAATGAAACAGCATGGGATTTATGATCAAATAGCATTCCTATTAGCATCTTGAAGTGTTTAGAGAATGATTGGCGAACAAAATTGTTTAATAAGATAAGAATATGCTGACGAGTGGTGAAATATTTTATTACGTTTATCCAAATAAGGGGTGTATATGAAGTTATACAAAGTATTGTGCTGTTATATTAATAAATCATACTATGAAACTTTGGGAGAGAATAATGAATGACTAAGACAGAACAATAGTGTTGGAAATCAATTTCGAACACACACTTGTTCGTTTTAGAGGAGTTGGTGGGATTCGCAGACTGCATAGTTTAATGTGAAACATCTTTTGTTACGTCTTTTTAAGAGTTCTTGGAGCAGATCTTTTGGTTTACTTGTGATTTTTCTTTCATTTGGTGGATATGATTTACCTTCACTCCCTCCTAATAAATATCTTCATTTCTTTTAAATTAATTATATGCTTGCAGGAGGAACCACATCCAGAATTTGATGAATGGTTGCTACATCATCTAGTGCCGTACGGGTGGCTTTGTCCTACTGCGTACAGCAAGTACGAAATTATGACTACCATCACTATCTCTGCCTTCTTGAACTTCCCCCACACATGCGGAGGGCAGCATTTGCGCTCCGTGCTTTCAATGTTGAAACTGCAAGAGCTATGGATGTCGCTTCTAATCCCCAAATTGGGCTTATGCGCCTGCTCTGGTGGCAAGAAGCCATAGACAAGATCTTTGCCAACAAGTTAATTGAGCATCCAACAGCCCAGGCCCTTGCATGTATAGTATCCGAGCATAAAATTAGCAAGAGCTGGCTGAAGCGATCTGTTGAAGCTCGGATAAGGGATGCCCAAACAGAGGTTACTGAAATCCCGGAAACCATTGAAGAGTTGGAGAAATATGCCGAGGACACGGTCTCAACTATTTTGTACTTGACACTTCAGGCAGGTGGTATCAGTTCCACTGCAGCAGATCATGCAGCATCACATGTTGGCAAGGCAAGCGGCCTTCTTTTGCTGCTCAAGTCACTGCCTTACCATGCTAGCTGCAACCGTCATTTTTCTTATATACCAGCTAAGCTGGCGGACAAACATGGGTTGTTGGTTAAGCAGGGAGATCAGTTGAATATCCGCATAGATTCTCGGGAGGGCCTATGTGATGTGGTTTTTGAAATGGCCTCTGTAGCTGATGCGCATCTGAGGAAAGCTCGTGAATTAGCTAAAACCGTGCCTGCTGAGGCTCGTCCAGTGCTTCTACCTGCTGTGCCTGCTCAGGTTCTTTTGGATTCTCTAAGCCGTGTGCAATTTGATGTGTTCGATCCAAGACTGAACCGAGGGATTATGGGTATTCCTCCTTTGTGGTTCCAGTTGAAACTAAAATGGCATTCATGGAGGGGGAAGTACTGAAATATCCTTTTCTCGTCATTGCCAGTTGATTTGAGGAATTTTATATTGGGTCGGAGGTTAAGTTTCATCCTTCAGAATAAGGGCACAAGTGTTTTCATTAACACGTTCTCGATGCTCCGAAGACTAATTATGTTGTTTATTCTTTAGAGTTCCCAGAGTTTCTCTGAGATTTTAGCTTGGATTAGTTCTGAAAATTTTGTGAAGAGATAAATGTGAAGTGGGAATGTGCAATTCCCAACTAAAATTTTGATTTATAGAGGCTGCAAGTTTCTTGCATCAGTGTATAGAAAGTCTTGCCTGTGGCAGGCAAATCAAAAGGCACAACTTCTTTAACTATGTAGACTGTATAAGTTGTGTTATTGAATAAAAGGAACCAAGTGCCTGTGGTATGAAAAATATAAAAGTGCATTACTGTATGTATGTGCGTGTAAATCCTACTTGTACGAGATGTTAGGAAAAATAGTGGGTACTTTAAATTATTGAAAGTGCAACCTAAGTCTTAATGAAGGTCTAGTGAAGTATAAATAAAGGTCTTCACCTGATTTAATTAATCTAATTCAGTATAATGGCTTCCAATATTTGCTTTATTGAGATCAAATTATATATTAAAGTTTGTAACACCAGGCATAGAGTTTCAATTTTTGGACTACAGTCGTTTGAGAACACGCATATTAATTGTGGGTAAAAAGTGGGTGTGTGTTTCTTTCTAGCCAAAAAAAGCCCCATTTTGTGTTCTACCTTGTGCCATGTGGGTGTAAATACAAATGTGATCAGAGAGTTGTTCTCTCTCTTGCTGAGCGCCATGGTGCAACCACAAATAAAAGCAAGTTTCTTGATTTATTCATTAATTAATTTATTTATTTTAAATGAATTTGAATGGACCAAAACACATTCAGAAAAATAGTAATAATAATGGACCAACAAAATATCCATAACATATAATTCTCTAGGTGAATTTCCTGTTTTTGTCCCCTCATCTGCACAAGGTTTAAATCTCAAAGAGGGTTGGGCGGTTGGAGAGGAGAGCAGAGCAAACAAAAAAGGTGACAACGATGGAGAGCTAAAAAGAGAGAACATGAGAGGGAGGAATTTTTACACCACTCAATATGCATGCAAATGCGTCCGCTTTATTCATATTTTTGCATTGCCCATGTGGTCCCGAGCTATGTAATAATTTCTCCATAAGAGTTGGTGGTGGTGAGATGTGGCCACCACATGGTCGCAGGAGCGAGGCCATCCCAGAGATCTGTGTTTACAGGCACCCACTTCCATACCCAGTGCACACAGATGCACAGAGGAACATAATCTGAGCAAGGTAAGAATTCAGATAGAGCGCAAAAATCATAACTCTGCAAAGTTCCATAAGAACTTAAGAAAAACGGAGTATATTTAAATTTGTAATTTGTTAGGTTCCAAAAAGAGAAAAACACCCGAGTCTACCATCACATAATTACTACTATCATTTTGACATAAAGATAAGATTACAAAATATCATGATCCTGCTGTTGCAAAGGCTCTGTGACGAAGAGCATACTTGTCATTCAAGCCATGACTCCAGTTGTCGCTGTCCGGATAATCTGAAACAAAGCTGGCACAATGGAAAAGAAGGAAATGCAATCAGTAAACAATAGGAGTTGGGGGCATAAATAAGACAAATCTTATTTTATTTTTCTTTTTTGGTTGGATAAGAAACATAAAATCGAAACTATTATTGGCCAAGACAGTTCCAAGTTCGATTTTCATTCCAGCAGAAATATAAGCATTGTGGGCTACTGAGTGAATTGCATGTAAGGAGACCATCACAGACAGAATGAAAGTAGGGGCAATCGTAAAAAAACACTCTGGTTTCAGTTCATTTCATTTTTTTTACATCCTCAGAACAAACCCAAATGCAGAATATCTGCCAGGCGACCCGCACTCGTAAAAAGTTGCAAAATCTAGTCATATATATCAAGAGAATAAGGAAAAAACAAATTACGAGACTTCTACAATTTTCCCTTCACGGATCTTTTGTCAATGCCAAACTGACTCTTAGAGCTTGGTGAGAACAGTAGGTGCATGTGTGTGTTTTTATGTTTTAATTTCAGGTCAGAAGTAAATTAAAATCAGCATGGAGGTCAGTAACTTTTTTTCCCGGTCTCCCTTCAGTTATGCTTTGAAGGAGCACAGACTTTAATTGATATGTATTATCTCAAATCAGGACATGGAAGAAATAAATATAATTATATTTTACTTTCATTTAAGTTTCAAAGGTGAAAAATAAATACAGGACAGTTTAATCAGAAAAGAAACTCACATGATCCAATGACAACAAATATGATGAACCCCAGCAAAACAGGCCCCACTGGATAAGAGTTTCCTTTCTTTGTTGTCGTTTCAGGCACTGCACCCCTCTTCTTGATGTTATTCTCAAATTTCTCCACCTTACGGTCTGCAAGACGCCTTGATGTTGTCTGTAGAAACAGCAAATGATAAAATATAGCACACCATTTGTTAAAGAGGAGGAGAGGCAACAATTCATTTAAATTAAAATTTACAAAACCAACCAAAGGAATCTGAACATAACTTCAATACCTTACACTGCTAGAGGAAGGTATTGAAGGTAAATATAATAGTGAGTTAAGAGTGACATGGTCCAAGTGCAGAGGACAAAATCTTTAACTTGGGTGAATATAGTAAATAAAACTATGAGAACATGTTGTCTAACTGAAGTTACGGTATTGAAAGGAATAAAGTGATGAAACACGATTCTTCTTCTTCATGTTCTTGGTAACACTATACCCAAATCTCATAATTTGAGGTTTACTACAGAGGAAAAAAAATGCAAATGCATATGGATCTCAATTGGACCCATATTTAATTAAAGAATATTAGAGCGGACTGATACGCAGTCCTTCAAATCTAACAAACTCATAAATTCTCGTAACTTATAGAACAAGTACCTAGATATAAACTTTTCACATTCAACTTAGAATTGGAAAATTTCAAGAATTGAAGCTTCAAATTGTTTGATTTTTTATTTTTGATTTTTGATTTCATATACCTTTGCAAGAAACTCAAACCCTCACTTTTTGCCTCTATGGGGACTTGAACCCTCGACCTTCTACTTGTGGAAGTAACACTAGGCTAAAGCCTTCGGTTCAAATGTTGAATTCTCAATACATTATATATATATATAAAAAAAAAAGAGGAAAAAAAGAAAGAAAGGTTGAATTCTCAATGCAGAGAATTGAACATCTTGAACTTAGGTTAGAAGATGAGATTCTCTTTTTCAGAAGGGCATGAAATTGTTTAAATCATGCACATACACAGAATTAGATTAAAACTAAATAATAATTATCATTTTCAGAGTCTGTAGAACATATCGATTTCATCACCATGTTAGGAATAGGTCATGTGTTGAATAATTTCCTACTCAATAGTTGGGTTGTAATGTGGAAAAGTGTCATGAGTCATTTGAGGACAACCACTGAAGGCAATACAAACAGATTTACGAAGAACATGGCAAGAAATTCGCCTCCTCAATCACATATCTAGGGCTCAAGTAAATTGATTTTAGAAAGAACTTAAATGACCTAAATTAATCTCAGAGACTCAAACTCGTTTTAAGTGTGTCTTTAAGAAGTGGCTTTTCAAAAGTGCAGGATTCAAACGTACTTCAAAATTGTGTTTTTTTCTGAGAAATAATATGCATCGATTAATTAGTCAATCGATCGGAAAAATCCTGTGTGTCAATCGAGCAATGGGATGTCTTTTGCAGGTTTTAAATCCAGAGAGCATCGATTGAAAGGTTGATCAATCAAAGTTTTTGTAACAGAAAAATATTTTGAAATCTAGAATGCCTCGATCAAGACTTGTCTAGTGGGTATCGATTTAAGTCTCGATTGATCGAATCCTTCGGACCTATATTTTTGAAAATTCTATCATAACAGAATTCTACAAGGATTTAACTTAGCAAAACGTATGGCCTACTTACATTGGCAATAAATATGGGGTTGTAGACAGTCTAGGTTATGATCTGAAGCCCCTAATCATCTAGAGAGAGAAAATCTTTGAGAGAGTGAAATCTCAAAGATTGAAATTCTCGATCACTCTAGGATTTTCTTAAACACTGTGATATGTGATTGAGTATTCATCTAGGAGGAATTCATCAGCATATCGACACGATTCAATTCAGCCGAAACGATTTCAGAGCAGAAGGATGGACAACCGATGGAGAAGTGAATTCGTAAGGACCGGAGTTCATTGATGAGTAGACGAAAACTTGAGTAGAGCTGGATTAAGTCCCGTGATTTTTTTTTTTCTCCGTTTAGATTAGGGTTCTAAATGTATAAATTTGCGTCTCAACTCTATATTAATTTTATGAATGCATAGTGTTTATATGTGATAGTTGAACTAGAAAAATAACAGATACAAACTAAATTAAAATCACAATCAACATAACTACCTAAAAATTAATTGAGATTTTAAATTTATATCCATAAGACCTATTCACCGAGCTTTAGGTCTAAGTACCGGCTCACACTCTTGACACATGAGAGCCTTGCGTAAGATTCCAAGCCATTTTGCAAGGAGTGTGAAGTAAAATTGTATCACAGTCAAACTTATATCGATTAACAAGAATTGAGTTTCTCTTAAAGAAATAATGCAATCAATTTATGGATACAAACATGTCTTCAGAAAAAAATACAGTTCTTCATTGTCTTCAAAAGATAACTTTTTCATCAATCCACTAAATAGATAATAAGATGCTTTATCTCATCAGCAAATTTACCGTTAAAATTGCAAAATACAAAACAAGTTAACACGGATCTAATACATACACACATATCACAATATATAATATAACTAATGTATCTGTAACCTAAAAGAGATAAGAGAAATCCAGATCTGACCTTCACAAAATTCAAAATAAAATCAACCAAATTTTAGAATTTGATAAATCCAATTCAAAAATGAAAAATTCATAATCGAAAAGATTAAAATGATTAAACGAAGAGATATATAGACATATATATAGAGAGAGAGAGAGGGGGGTAGAGATTACCATGGTCGTGGACGAGATGAGCTGAGAGAGATTTTGGTACTCCGATGTGGTTCTCAAGCGCTTTTCCGCAGTTCGTGTTTATTGATTTTCTTTTCCTCCTTCGGTGAAATCAAAGAAGGAAACGATTGTCTGTGAGACGTGCGTGCCGATATATAGTCCTATCGATAATATAATAATGGGTTAATTACAACGACACTCATGAGGTTTGCTATAATGACACTCATATACAAATTAGACATTTTTTGAATAATAACACCCCTTCACAAAATTTGGAGCCAAACAGACCCCCTAAAAGGTTTGAAAAGACAAAATTGCCCATCAATATTTAACTAATTTTAATTGTAAAATATTAGATTTTTAAAATGACAC